ATATTTAAACACCGAATTCGAATTGTCCAATTTATGAAAATCGTTTCGCCAATCAACTATGGGCCTAAAGTCAATATTGATCGAATAACATTAATTTAAAATTTTTTTTCCCTTGTCGGAATTCAATATCTATCGAACAACATAAAACAATTATCGCTTCTTAATACGAACTGCTGCACGCAACATAATAGGCCATACATACATACTCGTATATATATTAATATTAGGGTTCTGAACTTGTTGCATTTCCATATTATTTAATAATGATTGCAGAATAGTCTATGATAAGTCTAAAATCCCGAACCTTAATTATTATAGGATAGTGTTCATACGCAGACGTAATATGAATGACTATAACACAGATAATGCATAGTTAAGATAATATAAAACATAAGTAAAAAAAAAAATTCCTTTTGTTAGGATTAATCATTGCTGTTGTCAGAGATGGACTAGTCATAGAAGCTGGGGACATTTACATCCCCGGGCCGGTGACAGTTACCAGATTACGTGTCAGCCCAGAAGTATTAGAATAATAATATCAATAATATTATATTGTATAAATGTTTCTATTTAATACATTTTAATATAATACTAGAAATAAGTACTGATGATCATGTTTATTTGCTCGGTAATACTATGATAGGCAGTGCTTGACTTGTAGGGGTACGCAGGAGGACGGAGTACCTCAACTAATTTTCAAAAATTTTAGCATACCTCTACTAATATTACGTTATAATTATAACACTTATAAATAACAATTTTATAAACATAAAAACAGAAATTTCAATGAGATTATAATCAGCTAATAAATGTTTCTATGGACTTAGTAAAATTTTTAGATCAAGAGCAATCTCTAAGAACTTAAAAGTTAGAATATACTTAACTTTGTTAAGGCCAATTGTCTTGTATGAAGCAGAAACATAGCCCCTGAGAAAAACTGAAGAACGAGGGATGGCAGTGTTTGAGAGAAAAATACTCAGGAAAATTTATGGGGCATACTTTGATGTTCTCATAAATGAATGGAGAAAATTACACAATGATGAACTACAATCCCTTTTTCAAAGACCGGATATAGTGAAAGAGATAAAAAAAAGGAGGCTAGTTTGAGCAGGACATGTCTGGAGGAAGCATGACTCATTAATAAGAAGAGTAATAGAGGAAAACCCAGTAGGGAGGAGACCTCTTGGAAAACCACGTTTAAGATGGGAGGATTGCGTTAAGAGAGACGCTGAAACAGTGGAGCCGGAGAGTCATTGGCAGGAAGTAGCAGACGATAGAGATAGGTGGCAATATGTTTATCTATAGGTATGGTCTTGAATGGCTGAAACCAAGGAAAAAGAAGAATTATAACGCTTAACAAGTCTTGGGGACGATATTTTTCTTTAAAGTAAATAGAGTCCCTCTTCTTTAATTTTGCCAAGTCAAGCATTGGTGATAGATGATAGTTAAATATACGATCAGTATTGTATAATGTTGTCCAGGACCGGATTGGTTCTACCAGCGGTTAATAAGGTATACCTAAGTAAAAATTGTTTTCAGTGTTCAAATATCGCGTCGAATCAAGGTCGCTTTATAAATAATATGTTGTTGCAAGTTCGTCTATTAAAAATTATAAAACGGATATCATATATCCCCGTTGTGTTTCTAGTCCGCCTCCGATTGTTGTAATTAACGTACGTCTTAAAGACGGTGATCTTCCTTCTTCGAATAGCGACACTTTAATTCGTGGTCTATTAGCATTCCTAATCCAGATCCACCAGATACATACATTTACAGACAGGAACACGACAATATCGACTGAAATTACGCAGCAATAGGTACCTCCTCTGCGTTAGTACTAATTTACAGCAGTACACCTACTCGCATGCAACGGCTTTGAAATGTTGGTTTTAGGCATAGTACGTCGTTCGCCACGTATGATAATTGAGGACCAGGATCTAGGATTTTCTTTTTTGGGAGGGGAGGTTTGAAAAATGTTTTCCCTTGGCATATTTTTTATAACATTGCAGTCGGTGATAATGAAACAAAATAATAGTAAGTAATATAATACATTCATTCAAATCTAAGATTACTAATTTCTTGTATGAATAAAAATATAAATTACATACTTTCCCTCATATATTAAAAAAATAAATATTTTTCTTAATTCATGAAATTATTAATTTTTAATATATATTTTTCCTGATTTTAGGGGAGTGACCCCTCTACCGTGGATCCACCACTGATTGAGGTACATTTACATAATACAATTTATTTATATATTGACTTTATCCCAATTTACTTTGCCCAATTCATATCAAAAATACCTACTTTCAACCACGATATCATTTTGTATGGTAATTATCCAATTTATAGGAAGATACGCATAGTTCACAAGGACCCGTGATTTTTTATTTGATTAATATTGTTCATATTATAACATATACTTACTTTAGGGCAGGGATGAGCAACTGGCGATCCGCTTCCTTTTTATTCTGGCCCGTGCTACATTTTCAAATCACTTCATAACTTTTTAGAATTTATCAGTATTTTAATTTTATCACGTTGATCGTAAAATGTAGATATTATATTTTTCTCTGGCATTGAACTCCAGCTAAATCATAATAATATAATATACATGTATTGGTATAGTTAACATAGCTACTTATTTTATTATACTGGTTCAGTCGTAAAATTAAATTGTATACCTAAAATAAATGCTTATGGTCAATTTCAATGACCTTTTTTCATTTTTCATTTTTTTTTCTATTGCCTTCCAGATTTTAAAGTTGATTCTAAAAATTGGCCATCTTGTTACTTTGAGTTACCCATCCCTACTCTAAGGTATAAACTTATAAATTTATATTGTACATTTAAATCAATATACGAGTATAACTATATATACTATAATGTAAATTATTTTTACTTTGAGTCGCTGTTGGTTTTTCTATCAATATATATATACATATATTATATGTGCACGGTCATGAATATACTCTAGGTATACTCAGCAGGGTCAGATCTTAATACTTAGGTATCTAACTTTAGTTTTAGTTAGCAAAGCAAATGTTTAAGTGTATATCAGTGTAAGAAGTAATATTTCAATAATAACTTTCTTTTTAAGAATTTATAATATGCATTTGCTACCTCTAGGTGTTCAAATTAAGTCAAAAACAAGTTGGTTGGTGCTAAATACGTTTTTTTGACCAATTATTAGTTATTATAATGATAATGGCTACCTATTAACTACATAATGACTGTAATAACCGTAAATTTGTCTTATTATACATATGTGAAGGATATTTCACTAATATACACAAATAATATGAAAAATATAATGCTGGAGTAATTGTAAAATACCAAATATTTTAAAATCAAGTAAACTATATAGTTTATAATGTTTTATATAAGTAATACCGATCAGCTATATTTATTGATATTTACCTTTCCGTAAAAGTTATTATTTGTTCTTGGATCATTTCCAGTACAATTTTAAAAGTTTTTTCATTGAGGCGAAATTTTGTAAAAAAAAAAAAAACATCACTATCGTACTTTTATTTTATGTGATCTATGTATCTATATATTCGCGTTGTAAATAAATATGACCTTCTTGTTTATTTAATTCAGAAACTCAATCTCTTCATCAATACTGCTACAACTTATATGCACGTCAGTCATCTAGATTTAATTATGTAACATGGTTACAATTGAAAACAATAAATAAATTAAGTGAATAGATAGGTATTTAATTTGATATTTTCACTTCAAGAATAATAAATAAAATTAAAAAGTTCAATGGTAACATTGTTTGGTTTTAAACAAAAATGTGGTATTATGTACGACAGTATAAACTTATACTAAGTTTAAACACGTGACCAAAATATCCCGGTTAACTTAATCTGTGGTTAAGGTCCAGTTAAAATTTAACCAATTGATAATGAAACCACTTATTAGTTTAATCACAGAATAGATTAAGCTGTTCTGCGGTTTAACTTTAAATCGAGTTTAAATTGTTTTAACTGACGATGATCAATAAAATGACCGTGCAAGTGACAAGGGAAATGGTTATAAGATTATTTTTAAAATATTTAACCATGTATTGTTTTAAATTATAATAATTTTATCTCTTTCCTTTATTTTAAAGATCATTTATAGCATTTTATTTTTAAATGATAAAAAAAATCTAATATCAGTCTAAAATTTCAAAAATAAATATATAACATAATAATCACATGCAGTTATTATCAATTTACTTTAAATATGAGGGGAATGGGGTAGATGTTGATTTTACAATAATATAGGTAATTCTTTTTTCAGATCAATACACTTTTTAAAGTTTCCGTTTCTCAACCCTCTTCCTACAGAAGAAAAAAAATTTTAAATAGTCATAAATGACTTGCTACTAAGGCACAAAAAAAGAGAACATTAATTTATACCATGTTGTAATGTTTCTACACAAATATTTGTACAATAATATAATTAATAATTCATCCTATATGTATTTTTGGCAGTAATATAAAATCATTTAATTTTAAGTAAAATTTTAACTCCCCTTTCCAAATAAAACATTTTAAAATACTTCACTGCATCAGTAAACATTTTGCAAATTTATGTAAAGGATATTCAAGGGCCTATTGGAAATCATTGAGCTGGATACATATAATTTTAAGCCACATCAACACTTATTTGGGAACTTATCTCTGAAGTTACCAAACTATTTCTTTCTGCCGCATTGATTTTTAATAAATTCAAATAAAGTTAAGATAAAAATTATGAAAAATATAGGTACAAAAATTGTAAAAAAAATACTGTTGTCAAAATATTTAAAAGTAAACAAAATAATAACTATAAACATTCTTCAAGAAAATTTAAATTTAAAATTGATTTAAAAATAAAATATATAAATGTTATTAGTTTTTTTTAAAATTTTTGAACTTAAAGTTAAAAAAAAAAAGAATAATATGGTAAATATGAATAAAAATATAATTATAAAGATCAATTTTACATAAACAAAATCAAAATAATAACAATAACATATATTATGTACATTATAGAAATGACAAGAAATAATTTTAATAATAGGTTTAAACCGGTAATGAATTAGACACTTTACTTTTCACTACAGATGAACATAAACGTCCAAAAAATGATAGACCTTTTTGGCCAAATGGTATGGAATTTAATAAAAACCACAAAATAAGAATTAAATGTAAAGTTAAGAACAGTAATGTGAATGGTGTATTCTTCATCCACAGTGAAAAGTACAGTGTACCCAAAAGAGTTGTAATATAGCCAAACATGAAGGGCAGCTTTTCTCTGGATGTCACATACTTATAGTGATTCAATGGACCAGTCAAAAACGATACACTAAATTAAAAATGTAAAATGATTGTTATTCAAATATTATCAATGAATATACTTAGAAAATAAAATAATAAACAGAGTATTGACATATTATCATATATGATGTAAAAATATTCACTTTTATAGCATATGAACGAAACATTTTAATTTTGAATCAAAAAAGAATAAAGTTAATAGATGTTTAAATATTTATATTGATTAATATATTTTTAAAGAGTTCTTTTTTACATTAAATTTTTGTACTCTACTTTACAATCAATCCTTATACTCCTCATAGTACAAAGAAAAAAAAGTTAAGACTTTAATCTGGATTATATTCCAAAAGTAGATTAGTTAAAATAATGAATTTACAAATATGTCATTACTCCAGTTACATAACACAATAAAAGTAGTGATTTTCATATTTAACCTAGCAAATGCAAATATGCTTCCAGTAGCGTATAGAATGGCAAATTTTCTAGCTTTGAGCAGAAGTACGGGCACGTATAATGCCGATAATGAGAACATCAGACAACTGATTGATAAGCAAACCATAAAACCCATTATTCTTTGCGTTTTACTCTGTAAAATCAAACAACAAGATGAGCACAATGAAACCAGGGTACAGAGGCTAAACCTTACCAGGGACGGGAGATCAAAGTACGTCTTCTGGGAGGAATTCAGCAAATTTTCCGTTTGTTCCCCCGACTCATTGTTCAGAAGCTTCTTGAACACCTTGGGAATGTGTACGTGTCCATTGCTGGACTTGTTTTTCTGGGCCTTGTTGAGATATTCGTCCAGCTCTAATTTCAAATTGGCCATAGTAAAATAATTTTCTTACCAATTACATAGTTCAGATTCACTCGAGACGAGACAAACGAGCGAATAAGCTATTGAAAATGAATTGCGCGAGATGTAAAACAGTTGCAAACAATACAAACCGGTGGCTTCAAAAATCAAAATTCACAACAAAATCCATTAAGTAATACTCATAATTTTTAGGCATTAGAGTATTCGTCACTTGTTTTACTCAAAAACATTATTATCATTTACCGTCCGTTGATAAGTTTGTTATCACAATAAGCAATCATATTATCTTCGAAACCACAGATTAGATTAAAATTAATCTTTTTCGTTCCCAGAAAAAATATATTATTAGTATTATTATTATTATTATTATATTTATATTACGTATATGGTTCGGTAATCAGGGGCGTAATTTCAACTTGTTAAAGGGTGGGGCAACTGATTAAATTTGTGGACTTTTTAATATTTAAGAAATTACCTTTATATTTAAAAATGTAATATTTATGGATGATGGACAATCATTAAAATATTTTTTCGGAACAAAACATGTAAGAATTAGTAATGAATAATGATGTCACGATGATAAACAAAGAACATGAAACATTTCAATTTACCCAATTAAATAATAACATTGAAGATAGTAAAACATTAATTTATTTACTTACCATCTTATAAGTAGGCTATGAGTTATTTCTTTTTTTTCATTTGCTATAATTAGGGACATTACAACAATACAATTATGTGGTGAAAAGACACGAATTTATAAAAAAAACATACAAATAAAATTAAGAAACCAACGGAAACGATAAAATTAATGATGGAGTTGATGACATGGGTAGAGGGTGAGTTAAGGATAAGATTTGAATCGGGAGTGAGATAACCCAAAGTGGATAGGAATGAAAAAAGGAGTTGTCTATTAGAAGAGAGAGAGAGGGGCTATAAGTTACCTATCAATAGGTTTAATGGAATAATAATATAAATCTAATTAAATAAATACTTATAATTTTATTATTTGTATATTTAATACTTTACAGAACTTATTTATAAAAACAAAATTTTATCTCAAATACAATGTAGGTACCGTAGTTAGGGGTGAATAGGAACGATTTTAACAGTTTTTTTTTTTTAGATTATAAGCTCATTTTTATGGTATCGATATCACGAAAACTGTTTTATACAGATCACGTATTACATGTATAGAAATATATAATATACCAAAAGTAAAGTTTATAAGGTTTGTGTAATAACGATTGTCATAAACTGCGGAGAAACCATTGTTTCTCAACTTTTAATAAACCGTGAATGTGTAGGTATTTAAAAGAGAATATTATCTGATTTCTGAGTAGGTACAAAATAGTAAATAAAAATTTACTATTTACCGATTTTTAGTATTTGATCATCGGACAAAGAATTGTCAACTTTATAAAATGTCTTAAATCGGGGCATCTGCCATAGTCTACTCCGCCCCCCCCCCCAAATGACGACCATGACTGTAATTTAACTTCAAGTTATCTGTACGAGTTTAGACACGATCAGGGGTTATATTGATATTAAAATTAAATTTATCATTTTCAATGTTCATAGCAAATGTAATTTAATTAACAATGACAGGGTTCCTCCAGTTCCTTATAAAATTTCCATACATCTGTAGCTTTTAGAATAACAGCAAAATAATTAATATCATTTGTTCGAAATTCCTTGAAACACACTTATTTGAATTTCTAACGTTTATGTAATTATTTTCTATTGACTGCAAATAACAAGAGTAGGTCGTTAAATTAATTAAAAAAGTGTTTGATGTAATAGGCATTTAATGGTTCGTAAACGTAAATTTATTAGGGGATGAAAATTTATTTTTGATTTGTACTTTAATTTTTTATTATAACACTAACCTAACCCCTTAGTCTTTTTGAATAATTCCAATACAAAAAAAAGGTATTTTATATTTGTAACATTATTGTATATTGGTTTACATTCAAATTGCCCATACAGCAAAATAACAATTTTAATTAATATTGTAATTGTTTACTAATCAAAGTTGGTAAAAAATGAAAATCACTTACCTTTATAAATTAATAACATCGTGGCTGTAAGCAATAAAATATATGTAGTAGGATGTTCTGATTCAATTCAACATAGGTCATTTATAGTTAAGCAATTACAATTTTTTTAATTGATTATTACCAAATACATTGAACAGCAATATAGATAATGAATTATACAAAGTAGAAACTTTATAAGTTATTTATTAAAATTTTTAAGTAAAATTTGATTTATATTAGGTACATCTATACAGTGGCGCCGATCTCTATATTCAACTATGGCGACTGCCATAGTGAATTATGTGGTGGTTAGGTACTGGGTATTCAATTTATAATAATTGCATAAATACATAATAATGCCTATTACATTGCCTACAACTGATCAGTATAAACGTGATATATTTTAATATTAATATAAATAATAGTAGTGGACATAGCACTTATTGGTGAAGAGGAAGACTTGAAAATAAATATTATGTAATATATAAAGTTAACACCTATATCGGCTATATCATAAATTATTGATGTCACAATGTGAAAATAGATATAATGTATATTATGTATCAATACCAAATTTAAATACATTATGGTAGGGTTTCAGCCCCCCCTCACCGTTTACACCAATTGGTAGGTGGGTAGGTACTATTAAAATTTGATATTCACCATACAGCATTTTTTTTTTTTTTTTTTTTTGTTTGGCGCCAGTGCATCTATAGTATTATGTAATACAAACATTTATTGAATTAACTACTAATAATTAAATTTTAAATCTTAAATTGAGTTATAGATATAGAAAATAAAATTTTTTTAATTACTCTTCATAGTTAACAGACACAAAGAAAAAATATTTTATAAGTATATTATTTAACATAGTGTAGGCAGAAGTGCTACACAGTTTGATAAAGTAATATGACACATTTTATTGAAAACACATAATGATAAAAATGAATACCTTCTATAATGTATTTTGAAGAACACTTAGCGATAGAAAATCTGGTTAAATTAAGAACTTTTAAAATGAATTTATCTTCTTGGTAATGTTATTTAATATTGAACCTAATTTTATAGAATAGGTACTTGCGAAAAACGTATTGTATTTACTTTTCCATACCCTTTGTGATGCATTGTTTAGTTAATTTAAATAATAAATAATATATTAGTTATTTATTATGTGTCAACAACTAAACCAACAGAAGTACAAGAAAAAAGTTATTTGGTACCAAGATGTATGTAATGTACTTTAGTATAGTATAAAATATACAATTAATTTTTCACATACTGAGTTTTTAAGAAGTACTTTTATTTAAAAAAATACTCTTTCAAATTAAGATGGAAATTCAACTGATATATTTTGATTGAATATAAAAAATTGTAAAGTTTTCAAATACAATTTAATTACATATAATAAATTGATTACCAACAGTTATAAAACTATCTATTCAAAATAAGTTCAGAAGGTTTAATAAAAATAATATTACATTTTTAAGATTTTCAAAATAAATTGAATTTGGAAAAAAAGTAAGGTTATTCTAATATTTAAAACTTCATTACAATAATATTTAATAATATAATTTACCATTTGAAAAATAAAATAATCATGAGATCAACTATTTTATACAATGAATACAAATAGGGTTTTGATGACTGAAAATATTTTTCAATATTATAATAATTTGCTACTTAACACCAGTTAATAATTTTCTACACTAAAAGAAAAAATAAATATAGTTATGTTTGTTTATACAAATAAAAATAAATTTCGTTTTAAATATTATAATTTAAATTCAAACTATAAATTAAAAGCAATTACTTATTGTACGGGTTCAATGATATTTTGTTATTAACATGTATAAAATAAATATATTTAAATATGTAAAACTATTGAACACATTTTTAATACATCATTTGTATGCTGTTTATAAAAAAAAAGCACAGCTAAGATCAGTACTAATAGGTGACATAGACAAAAAATGTCGTCGTAGTTTATGGCAGTGATTAATTGTCTTACTAAAATGTGGCTTAAATTAAATTGGACTAAAAACATGTTTGACTAAATTTGGAAAAATTATATTAATTAACACAATAGTTCAATTAACTCAAAAGCGAAATTAATGTCCACATTTTTTTTAACGAAAAAAAAAAAATTAAATAAGGAACCCAAAATTTGACCAGATGAAAATTATACAAATAAAATTAAAAAAAACATATATATACATACACACACACACACACACACATATATATATATATATGTATATATGTATATATAAAGAGAAAATGGAACATTTGTTTTACTTAAATTATAATATAATTTTGAATTTTAATTTGGTTGATTATTTAGATGACAAGCATAACTACACATTAAAATTGTTTAAAACCTTTACTTAAAAACAGTAGTTACACTCAAAATGAAAAAAAAAAATAGAATGCGATACAGATCTTTATCGGATCTCATGATTTTAATAAATCTTAGCTTTAAAATATAAAGCTCATTATTGTTGTACTACTGATTGAAAATTAAAAGTATAGACAATAAAATACAAATCAGGTATCATTGAAATCTCATGACTGCCAATATTAAACATAAGATATTAATCCCAAAAATTTGTACTTTTGAAAAATAGTTATAGAAAAAGGCACAGGAAAAAATATTCAGCTAAAAATAAAATAATAATTTGATTTTTCAGTACAAAAATATCATGTTAATAGAACGTTTCAGTTAAAAAAAAACATTGAGATCGGAAAAATTCTAGAAAAATGTGTAGATTATTTAATTAAATTTTAGTTTACATATATATACAATAATTTACTACTTATTTTTATTTATTACACATTTACTTTAAATGGCATTAGCAGTCCTTTCAATTTTGTACATTTTACGTGAACACATGTGTGTAATGAGCTGCCATAAACTATAATACAAATTTACTACACTAGAACATTACACAAATTGAAGTTTACACATAAATTTCCTATAATACTCCAGAACTGTTTAATATAATTGATCAAATATTTATCTGTGTTAATAATAATAATACAAATGAGCTGTAACTCAGTTGTTCTTAAGTATTAATGTTTTTAAAATCTGCAATTTAAAAATATATATAGATTAAATTTGTTTATAAAATGTATACAAATACCAAATTAAAAAAAAATATTTAAAGAAATATAGCTAATAAAATACAATTACCTGAATTAAGAACTTGTTGCAAACATTTTTTAACTGTATCACAATAAAATTAATTATAAAATTAAACTAAATTTTGTACATTTATGTGCAGTTAAATTTAATAAATTCTGTATAGATACATTTTTAGTAATATGTTTGAATAAAATATGTATATATATATATATATATATATATATAGACAAACACACACACATATATATTTGATGTACAATAAACAGTTCAGGAATATATTTAATAACAATGAAAAAATAAATAATTTTTAATAAAATTAAAAATTTTTAATGTTCTTAATTAAAATTTAAAAATGTACGCATAATTGTACAACTCTAATGTAACTTGGTTCAAAATTAAAGTTTATAGAAATTATTGCTTAAAATATTAGGTAAATACTTAAACACTTATATCTTCTAAGTACTTTAATATGCATATATAATATATAGATATATATATTTTTTATTGCAGTAACTTACGTCAATTGTGTTACAGTATTATTACTAGGTGGCAGTACAGGTTTAGTTTTATGACAATGGAGTATAAAGTTATTGTAGATTTCTATTAATTCAGCCATTTTATACTCTTCTAGACAAACAAATCCTTCTAAATTAGGAGATTGCTTTTTTGCACAGATAACACAATAAACGCAGTGTTTTTTCTCTTGTTCGCGGATTAAAAGAATATTGAATACTTCCACCTAAAACCAATAAAAATTAAATTAAGTTTGGAAAAAAATGATAAAAAACTGTTAAATAAACAAATTGCATTACATTTTAAATTATGCTAGGTATACAAATTTATGGACAAGAGAAATACATTTTTTTTTGTAATTTCTGTTAAGTGACATTAATTAATTTATCAGTAGTTTTCTGGTAGTTTTTATTTAATGTAGATAATATAGATTTTACAACACAAGCTACACAATGCAATTTAAGTTAAATGGTAAATATTGATTTATTTATGAAATACTCATTAAAATTTTTGCTAACAAGAAAAATCGTTTTATAAATATTGAGTAATAGGTATATAATAATAGTTATAATAATTAATTTACCATTTAGGTATTATTTAAAGAAATAATTAATATATTTTTTTATATTTTTTAGTGTCATACTGATATTAAGGAGTTATAACTTATTTTTCATTACTATCAACCATCTAACAATCAAACTAAAAGGAATTGTTTCTTTTTGTGTTCAAACAAATAATGGTATTTCAGACCTCCAAGACATCATAAAAAATTAAAATTTTCATTTAAATTAAAAATATTAAAAATTTAATTTTGATAATGCTTTGTTAGTAACAAAATTGCAGAGCACACTTAAGCTACGGACATACATAGATGTAGGTCCTTACAAGTATCATTGTATGGGGGGGACCACATATCATATAATTAATATTACTATATCTTATAAATAAAATGGCTAAAGAATTATGGGCGCTTTCTAAAATAACTATGTGTAAATGCAAAACACGTAATTGAACATGACAGACATATGTAAAAGATGGTTCTGCGAAATACAGAATTCACAAGGCCAACCAAACGCAATAAATAGAGCTAGGATTTCTATGCGCTTTGCTTTTTTTATTGAAGCTTTCTGTACGATACTCGTTTTGTTAAAAATATGTTTTAGATATTTTTAAATTAGAATAAGAAATTTTATTGTATTTTTTGCATTTTATGGCAATTTTTGATTTTAAGGTAATTTTTCTCATTTTTTAGGGCATTTTAGGAGTTTTTAGTCATTTTTGGTGTTTTTGAATTTAAAATTATAGATTATAGATTTTTCTACCAACGGATTAGTGTTGTTGTGTAAGGTATGCAATGTAAAAGTTGCTGTTGAAAAATGTTTTACCATACAACAACATATATCAAGAGACAAACATATTAATGGAGTACAACAAAGAGAACAAATTGAAGAATGAGAAAAAAATATGTATATTTACAAAAACTTATTGGGGAACAATAGGAGACACGCTCTTATACTGTAACAATATAGAATAATTTTTTATTTTTTAATATATGAAGTAAAATGAAATATTCATGTATATATATTAATGCATTAATGTAATTTTTGTAAAATTTTAAAGGCATTTTTTAATGCATTTTTTGAGTTTTTTCAGTCATTTTTGCATTTTTATTGGGTAATTTTTCGCGATTTTTAAGGACATTAAAATCCTACCCCTAGTAATAAATAATCCAGGGTTGGGCGCATAGTAATAATTAAAGTATAAATCATAATTATATAATTGATATTTGGTAGATACGAAACAACAATCTAATGTTAGAACTAATACAAAGAATTCTGGTATTAAATATTTTGCATTAACATAATTGAACAATGTCCAAGTCAAGTATGTTAATCTTTTGGAAAAGTCACAATCTCTTACATAGGAACGGGGTATATAAGGTAATCCCGAACAGACCAATAGTGATATGTGTTACAGTCTGATCTTAGCATGCACCATCACACCAGTCTATTTGTCTGATTAATTAAATATTTTTTACTTTGAAATATTCGCAATAAATAACAATTTAATTTAAATTGAGTATTTATTTGGAATATCCTAACACATATCCTTTGTCTGAACTGTTGTATTGACGGCACTCAACACTTATAATAATATAGTATTAAACATTATTTTACATAGTTGAAATATTATAATGAATTAATATTAAATAAATAAAAATAACAGTACTTACATCACAATCATGACAATAATGTGAAGCTTCATTCTTGCCTCTCCCATGAAAACGGGTTTGTATTTTCTTAACTTTGATAAACTCCAATGTAATACCACATTGACGCAGAGAACACATTAAACACATTCTATACAAATTTCAAAAACAATAATCATAAATAATAATAAATAAAAAATAATCATAAAAATAACATATAATCGGTGAAAATAATTCATGGTAATTTACTTAATAAGTTCATAGAGTCTTGGATCTGAAACTTTAATATTTCGAGCTAAATTCCAACTTAAATGTATCATAGGTACAATGCTTTTATAACTTTGAAGCTTATTCCATTCATAACGTTCTATAGCAAGGCTGTATTGTCTAGCCGTTAAAGGACCAACATTCCATGCAATATTATTGCACCAACCAACTGCTTGAACCCAATGAACACAACCTATTGATGTAATTTTAAAAATGCATATAATTAATTTAACTACATCTATTTTTTTTTTATATATATATAAATATAAGCTTTTTACCTGAATTTACCCAAACCATATCACCAGGTCTTTGTAAAAATCTATATAAAGGAACATTAGATGCGAGTAAATCTTCAATCAAAGGCCACCAAGACCCGTGTAAATAATTCAATCCATACCTAGATTAAAATTTAAAAAATTAATATTTTATTTGCTGATTATTTATTTAATATGATTTTATAAGTTTAATTTTATTGAATTAAATATATAAATATATATTTTACTTTTCACAAAGGTTATTAATGACACCCCAGTAAGCATCTGGCACAGCGAACCACTCACAATCACCAGGACCAATATTAATATTGATCGAACAGAAATTATTATTCTCTTGGTGTCCAGGTGTTCGACTACCAGGAACCTAATGCAAAATTAAAGTACTTAATTAAGCTTCTATTCTGTACAAAAACTTAAAATAACCTTACTTTCATATATAATTGAACTGTATTCATGCCTAAAATAGAATGCCCAACATGTGAAAGCATATTAGCAGCAGAAACAACTCTGGCAAATGCTGGTAGCTTAGTAAGCTCTTGAAGTTGAGGTCGCCATTTTTTCTCATCGGACAAATCTACATTTGTACCAAACTTAAGCATCTTACTACCAGCAGGAGGTTTAACACCAGGCAAATTCTGAAACATTTAAATTAATTCAACACATACTAAAAGTAAAAATCAGTTAGTAAAACATACTATATTCTTTTTTCGTTTTTTTTCCATTGTCATTGAATCTTTAGAATCAGAGTCTGACAAATTTGAATTAGGAACTGAATGGATATTTGTTATACCATCTTTTTCATCCTATAATTTTTTTTTTTTTTAGAATAAATAAAGAACAAAAATTACAAAATATATTTATATAGGTCTCTTAACTAATGTAAATGTCATTGAACATAGTTTACAATAAGATTAAAGTTTATGACAAATAAAATATGTAAAGGATTCAGAAATTTTAAATACTAACTCTTATTGATTCATGAAAACTAGAAGCTTGGTATTGAGCATATTTAGCAATAGTTGTATGTGATCGATGGCTTATACAAGCCCATCCTCTTCGATTCTGTTTAACATCCCAGTTATCATCACTGCTTTGCATAACTTGTGTTCTGACTTCAACAGAATGATCTGGATTTGTTTCAACCAATGATCTAGTAGAAAATAATCCCAAATCTAGATAACAATTAAAAATATTAATAACCATTTTATAAATTAAAACAATATATTGAGTAATTTATATACCTAATTTTAAGGCACCAGCTAAGCAACGAACAACAGCAATAGGATTTTTTAAGCAAAACTCTTGTAGTCTTGGACTAAATGCATCTTTTTTATTTTCTAGCATAACTGATGGGGTAGATGGAAGTAATTGTTCTCGTGTCAACTGTTGGGGTGGAGGATCTGGAGGAGTAGGAGGAGGCCCATTTGGACTCAGTACATTTCTATTCCACATACCTGGTCCCGTTTCTTTCCTGTAATTTTTAAATACAAATTAGAAATTAAAATATATTTAGATTCAAATATTAAATCTATACTTATATAGTAAAAAAAAAAAAAAAATCAAAAACTTATAATAATGTTATTTCATAATAAAACTTATACGGGATATATTCAATTCTAATACAGTACGCATTTAAAAAAAATATAGAAAACTCAAATAAAATCAAAGAACACTCAGATAAAAAAAATTTAATTAAATATAATTAAAATGACTACATACTTATCCTAACATTTATCTACAATGGATTTCCATATATTTAAGTTATAATTTTTAATCAATATTTAAAGCCACAAAGTTAATTCAATGAATAAAATAAGTTATTAGTTGCATTATATTGATTAAGACCTAAATAAATATTTATTATAATAAAAATAAAAATCTAATAAATTACTATTAAAATATTTAATTTCTACAAATTTTTAAATCTTGAAAAAAGGATAAAAAAATTAAATATGATAACATTTAACATTATTAAGTGAATAATTATTATATTATGTAAAATGAGACTTAAATAAAAATGTTTAACTTGACTGGAAAAAAAACTAATAATAGTTGGGACATTTATACAAAAAAATAAAAATACAAATATCCAATATAAAATGTGCTAATCATGCATTAGATAATATGCATTAAAAAAAAAAAATAACTAACCATTTTGTTTGTTGGAATAATAATTAAGAAAATATACTTAAGATAATAAATATTAATATAAAGAATTCAAACAATCTGCTTGTGTATAATTTGACAATTTTATCTAAAAGAAATTATAACATTTAAGTTCTGTAAAAACAGATATTGATATTACTATTATATCATAAAAGTGTCATAAATTAAAATCATGAAAAATAAATTGACTTTATAATAAGAAAATTAATTAACAGTTATAGTTCACATTATAAAGAAATATATCCCTTTTAATTCAGTCAACATTAAGAAATATTTTCAAGTGATAATAATAGAAAAAAAAAATTAACTTAATAAGTCCATTAAAACCATTATAAATAAAGATTTATAAAAAAAATTAAGTAATCCACTAGTCAGGTGGCTCAAACAAAATGAAACAAACAGGTGGTATGGTTTGAACACAAAGAACAAAAAATCACCTGTTTACCCATTAATTTTCATCTGTTCTAAACGATACTTTATTCATATTTTACTTTCATTAATGATTTAACACAAATTTCAAATTATTTTAAATTTAATCTTAAATTTGTTTAACTTTTTAAGATTTTATCATTATATTTGTAATAAATTTTAGTTATTTCAATAATGATTACTTTTATAAGCTTATACTTAACATTTTCATAAATATAATACCCCAATAAATAATTTTCAATATTTATATTAAATTAATTAATTATATTAAAATGTGTTACTTTAATATTATATAATTTTTAAGGTTATAATTTTTTTTATTTTTTATTATTTGTCTACTCAATCTATGAATTTCCATAGTAAAATTACACGATATATATATATATATATATGATAGTGTTTGTTAATTTGCTTACTGAGCTATTGCCAAAACATCTTCAGCAGTTAAATTCAATGAATAATCACAATCTGACGAACTTGAATCTTGATATCGAACAACATTTTCAGTAGTTGACTGAACACTAGGCATAGTTTTAACTTCTAAAATAAAAAAAATTAAAAGCTATCATATCATTTAATATATATATATATACTTAAGATTTCATCAATTACTTTTCAATAATTATTCAAAAGGATAGATTAACCAATAGATTCAAATTTAAACTAAATAGATATGTGACTTAAGAAATACCATAACAGATCAATGTTATTAACAGTAGTGTATTTAGGCCAAAGCTGCTAAAACTTAGGCCCCAGAGCTCACAAGTGTGCTCAAGTTAGGGAGGGAGCACAAATACATACACAGATATTATCACTAAATTAAAAAAATGTACTCAACATTTATTTTATATTTTAATATTATTTATGTTTAAGATAATTTAATTTAAAATATAAAAAATAAATATATTAACTTAGATTCCTCTTTCGTATATTTTATTATGATTATTTTTATTTTTTATTAGTTAAAGGAATTACAAATAATAATATTTTTATTATAATTTAATTTGTATAAGAGAACTCCATTTTTTATAGAGATTTAGAATTACCAAGTTCCACACTATACCATTGATTACAATCAATATTTAGAAAATCTTTAATTGAATGTTAGATACATGTTGAACACACATAACAATTATTATAAAATTATTATTATTATATAACTGTTTAATACCTTGGGATGGTGTTGTGTTATCAGTTTCATTTTTAATATCTAATTCATCTGATGAACCAAACTGTTTGAGCAAATCTTCAGCTAATGAAGTAGTTAATTCTTTTTGCGATAAAAGAGCCTGCAATTCTCTATCTAATTCCTGATTTTCATTTGTACTATCAATTAAATCTGACGATTTTGTATCTGCTCGATTTTGATTAGGATACTGTTTAATAACTGATGAATTTTGATATTGTCCTTGTTGACCAGGACCATTCTGTTGTTGTTTAATTCTCATTTGTTGTTGATGTTGTTGCATCAAACGATAATTATTCTGCAACTGTTGCAACAAAACCTAAATTCAAACCAAATAAAATAAAATATAGAATTTCCACAACTATACGTTCCTAAATTTCATACTTGTTGCTGATGTGACAAACTATGAGAGCTTTGTTGAAGAACATTCATAGTTTGAATTTGTTGATTATTTAAATAAAATGCAGGTTGTTGATTACTATTACCAACAGCTTGAGGCTCAACCTAAAAATAAAATAAGAAATATAATTTTAAATTAGAAATACTAATCAAACAATAAAAACTGTACTTTAATTCGTTTAGTGTTATTTTCCAAAACATTTTCTGGTTTAGATGAGTTATACGGAGGAGGCTGCCCATGAGGTGTAGCTATCATTTCTTGAGATTTTTGATAAGGAGTTTGTACAATTTTTTGTTGTTGTTGTTGCTGCTGCTGCTGCTGCTGTTGTTGTCTTGAAGACATTTCTGCAGAAATTGGTAAATTCCAAGCTTCTTCAATAGAAGGTAATTGACGACGTCTAAAATTTATAAAAATGAATATACAAGCAATTAAAATAAATTCTTACACTTAAAAGTATAAAAATAACTTACTTGCTTGTAATACTAGGCATTGGAGCATTGCATAAATGAGTTTGTAAAAACTTAATACGTTGCCCGAGGTTAGGGTTTATACTAGACATAGCAGATGCTGGAACATTTAAAGTTGTTTTCATCAATGATTCACTTACAGCGCTACCTTTTGTTGCATTTACATAACAAGCGAGTGCATCTTTAGGCTGGTTACAACTTTCATATAATATACCTATAAACAAATGCCTTTAATATTTTTAAACTTACACCTTAATTATTGAAATTGACATTACCAAGATTTGTCCAAGCTGCACTATGACCTTTATCTAATTGCACTGCACATATATAGGCTTGCAATGCATCCATAGGCTGATTTTGTTGTTGATAGAGTACTCTATAATAAAATTAATACATTTAAAAAGAAATTTATTTTATTTTGTTTGTGTTTCAACTGAAAATATATATTAAAGAATTCTCATTCATTTTAAATAATTAAAAAATTATGAAACTATAAACCAACCCAATAGAGCACCATGTATCTGCATTTCCCTCAGATTTTTCAACAGAATTACGGTAAGCTATAAATGCATCATGAACTTTTCCAACACTTGCGTAACAGCGACCAAGTAAATAAAGAGACTGGCCTGATTTGTTATCAGCTTCAATAGACTTTTGCAAAAATTGAATAGCAATTGTTTCTCGATGATTTTTATCTCCTAGACATTCACAACTGTGGTACATCCATCCTATCAAAAAAATACAAAAATATATTAGTAATAAGTTATTACATTAAATCATTCATCATGTTTAAAATATATTACTTACCCAACTGTCTACAAATATCAGCACGCAAATTAACAGTAATTTTTGAATCATTTAAGAGTTGTTCATAATGATCTTTAGCTAATTTATATTTACCTTGAACTTCATATAAATGCGCTATATGAAAGCTTACTAAAAATAAACTTAAAAGTTAGAATACATTTATTGAAAATCAAAAAAATTAAAAACATACTTTCAAGTTTGGAAAATGTACTTAAACTGACATCTGAATATGCATGTTTTAAATGTTTTAATGCAGTTTCCCATTCATTAAACACTTTGTACATCAAACCCAATCTAAGATGTACTTCATTGGCCCGCTGATAATTCGGGTCAATGTATAACAATTTTTGAAAAAATTTAATAGACCTGAAAATAAATAAATATAATTAAAGTAATTAAATTATAATACAATAACTAAATTAAAAATATATAATTTCAATACAAATTCAATGCCTTAATATGCCAGATGAAAATAACTTTACAAAAAAATAAAAAGGAGTTATATGATTTTGGCAAAATGCCAAATTGGCAAGAGTTCCATGATTAAATGTAATATACTGGTAGATATCTTAAAATCACTGATTAATATTATTTTAAAAATTGAATTTCATTTTTAATATTCTCAAATCATCAAACATTTACAGAAATTAGTTTTATTTTGTATTTCCAACAAGTAAATACATTTATACGATTGAGTTAGAGTAATTTATTGTTTTGCATTTAGGAGTGTATTTTACTTTATTATTACTCAGACCTTATGGATGTAGGATTATTTAAAATTTTTCATTATTCATTATTATATAACATACCTAATCAAATATTATGGCACTATAGTAAGATAGAATTAATAGAAGAATTTATTAAATACTCGTCTAAATAAAAAAGAAAGCTTGTTTAGGTGAAATAAATAATTAAATAACTATTAAAATAAAATATTCTTAAGGAATTTTTTCATTAAATTAAATGAAATGCACAAGTAAGTACAGAACACATAAACGAAATAAACTTTAAAAATACATTAGATAGGTAAAGGCATTTATAATTTGTAGTCTATACTTAATGGCTAATATTATAAAAACATTAGGTATTGTAATTAGCCCATGTAAATTATAAAATATATATATATATATTAATTTACACACCAAAGAGAACATTTATTTTCAAATCTTGTCAACAAATATTAAATTTAATTAATTGAAAAAATTTAACAGGATTTTTTTGTAAATTATAACTATTTAAAACTATGTAATTATGTTGTTACATAATTATAAATATATTCAATAAATTGATTCAAATTTTAGTATAAGTAGATATGTATTTTATGATAAAACAAATATTTAAAATAGAAAAATACTGATACTAAATTATTCATAATTTATTTTGCAATAATTGTTAGCTAAGAATAACCAATGACATTAAGACCAACAATTTAAAAAAAAATAAAATGTTGCTATTGTTCTCAAATGTAGGTAGGACTACTGCATATGCAATAATTGTAACTTTAGTCACAACCCATAGTAATAAATAATAGGTATTCAAAGCTCAGTGTCCTCGAAATAGAAATAGTAGAAATTCTAATTTTAAATTCATATCGGTTGGCTCGTAAAATATTACAATTATTGTACATTGATAATAAAACCTAATAAATTTTTAACAAAAACACAAAGTATGCAAATATTATTAAACTATGACATAACTTTCTGAGGTAATTAAATTAATCCAAGATAACGTTTCAGTTATGATTATAAAACAATTAGTTCTTTTCGTTACCCACGAATGAACGAAAAGAAAAAAATATTTAGTGTATAATAATATTCTAGTGTCGAAAAAATGTTTTATTTCATACTTATATTATATTTTTAATATATTTTCAGAAAAATTATTTAAATAAATAGAATATTATGTTGTTTGAAAAGAAAAACAAGAACCATGGCTAGGTGAAACACCTCTAATCGGTGAAACAGCAAGCACTACGATTTTCGAACGCGTGGACAATGCACAATATCTAATGGTAAAAAACAAATAGAATCAGCAATATTGCATTACTCGGGGTGTTCTCATCGATGGTGATTGAAATAAAAATGTAAAAACAAGTTGACAGCGAAAACAATCAACGACCAAAGTTGCATATTATTAAAAAACACATTTATGTTTTACGCAGGGGTGTAAAACCGTGGTGCACGTATTTGTTTATACACACGTATATAGGTACACTCCAATTGGAATCGGCGACGGGAAGGCAAAAGGCCAACAACCAAGTGCCTACGTGAGACACCGGTTTAGCGCGTTGGCGTTTTGTTTACGCGACGCGCGCGTCACGGCGGATATTATACAACACGCGCTGCACAGGAGACGACGGTGCACCCGCGACAGGATGCACGCGCGCGCGGGAGAGCGAGATAGAAAAACCAGCGTACACACGTACTACCGCGTACAAGCGTCAAAGTTTACCTGAGATAAGAGGAGACCGTGCGCGTATACGAAATATGAATGTACGAGTGCGTGTGCGCGTGTAAACGACGAACACTGCAGTCCGCACGGCAGTGGCGGCGGCGACGGTGATGACTTACGAACTAATGAACACTGAACGGCGTGAACGGTACGTGCGAGATTAACAATCGGTAAAAATACGAGACGAGTGAACACATCTGAAGGAATCGAACTAGTAGGGATATTAACTAAAAATGGACTGCGACTGCTGCCGTCGGACACAATATTATCGTGTTACCGACGCAGAGGCGGAAAAAAAAAAAAAAAAAAAAAAAACATAGAAAAAAAAATAATAAATAAATAAATATAATGTACAGTTGCAGCCTGCAGGTTGTGCGGCACAGAGGACATTGTCGTCGTGAAAAGAGGGTCTTTCGACGGCGTATACGTGCGGTGCGCGCGTCCCGAACGCGCGCGGTAGTGGGGCGACGAGTGAGAGAGAGAGAGAGAGAGTGAGAGAGAGTGAAAGAGAGAGAGCGCGACTGAGCGACCGTGGGAGTGGGCGGGAGAAGGGTTGCGACGGCGAAGGGAACGCGCGGCGTGCGAGTGAGAAGGGATGCGAGGCAAAATAGTAGTGGGAAAATCGAAAACGGAGATAGAGCGAGAGAGAGAAAACGACTGCGCGAGCGACGTACGGTGAATGGGAGCGCGCTGCGCGAACACGACGAAGAGGAGCGGGGTACGGAGGCGGCTGCGCATCCCTACTACACGCGCGCGCCGTACGACACGATAATACTACTACAACGCTGCTGCCGCCGCTACTGCACAACACACTGTAGTACGGTCGCGTCTGTACGGGTCCGATGCGCGCGTACACAAAACGCTAAACATTGACCTGTGGGACGCTAACCTCGGCGAGTGAGACACTTCAGTGGTTGCCAAATTTGCGCGTATTGTTTCCGCCGCCGTGCCCCGGTCGAAGAATGGCGCTGGGCCGCCGCACACGCGGCCGCCGTTCGGCCGGAGGGACCGAAAGACCTGCACCGCACCACCACGCCGCGGCCGGTACACACAACCGATCGGTCGACCGTACCGCGAGGGATTGTTGTCGACGCGCGGCGGTTATCTCGGGGACGGGCGACGGTGCGAGAGATCGCGTTCCGTTCGTCCGAGTTCGGAAACTGGTTTATAATAACATTTTCGTCCGCGCCGCGTGTATTATTACGCCGATAAATGTTTGTATTTTTTTTTTCACTCTCTCGTCCTCTCTCGCTCTATTTTATCGCCATTCCGCCTTTGCCGCCCGTGTTGTTGCACAATTTACGCACGTATTCCGGTATTCGTCTCCGCGCGTTCCTCGTTATTTACCTAATAATTTTTATTTCAGACCTTGGCATCTATAGGGTCATTGACATAAACATGTAATACGTATTTTTAATGCTACCTCGTAGATAAAACTTTATTATTAGTAACTTATTATTTATAATTTAGTACAGTGACTAATGAACGGTACATAATATACAACAAATATAACACGTGTATGTACATATATATATATATGTGTGTGTGTGTGCGTGTAATATAATGGCTCAACTATAAAATAACTAATATAAATAATTGATACGAATAACACAAATTTTTATCTTGAAAACGATGAGTTTAAAAGAATTGAAATACACCAAAAGAACTATTAAAACAATTATCACATTCGATTTTAATGAGTTAAAATTAAAAATAATCTTACCATTGATAAGAGTTGAAGTGGAAATATACAAGACCAAGACCATACAAAAAATTTGCATCTTTCCAATGATTAGTTTCCGCGTCATTATAATATTTATGGTATGCAGACATTGCTAAAACAAAATTAATATCAACCTTTAGTATTTTAAAAAAAATAATCAGATATTGATTGAGCTTATAAAAATGTATTTTAATTTACTCCTCAGATTTATGATTGTTGACACAATGATGTCAAAAAAGGACGAATATACATCATTTAAGTGTAATAAGTGCTTATAAACAACACAAATTTCATTCAAATATTTAAAAATTATGAAATGTTAGTAAAATACAAATAGAAGTACTGAGATTTCATCAAAATTTAACTTTCTAACTTTTTTGGGATATTCGTTGAAGTTTTCAACGAAAAGAAGTCTTGTATTTAATTTTCAAACCAGATTATAACTGTTATAACCAGGGTTCGGATTTTAAAGCATTTGATACTTATTATAGGATATAGATAAAGTTAGCAGAGTGGGCTATAAATTTGTGTTATGAACCAGGGACTCCGAATATGAAATTTATTTTGCTATTTTTTTTTTGCATATTTTTGAAGTTTTAGTGCTATTTTTTGCTTATATGCATGATTTTATGCTTGATTTTGTATTTTTCATAAATCTCGTTTATATTGAATGAAATCCAAAAATTCACACATTTTCGATTCATATTGATAAATGATAAATAATATGGTATTTACTATTTAACAAGTTACTAGAATCTATTTTTAAGTAGCCTGGTGATATCAAATATATTTATACATTTATGACCCCTAATCTGTTTTATTTATTTTAATTTTATTATTGTTCTACAATATAATGTCGTCTACTATACGTATTTCATGCTTTCAACGTCAGTTCTCCGTATTGTTTGATATCGTTTCATATTTGTTTATTACTCGATTGTGTAATATTAGTTTTTTTGTTTTGATATTTAACGTAAAATGCCGAAAGTTCAAAAATATCGAACTATTCGAGACTTAGATATTATGTGATTGAGTTTGGCGGCGATGAGGTTTTTACGATTGACGCAAGTATTCTATTTTGCAAATTGTGTGAATGTAAAATTAATAGTGATAAAAAGTTTAACGTTACTCAACAGTTAAGAATGGAGAAACAGTTACGTACAAACGATGTCATCATTCAAGGTAAAACAGGTATACATAAAACCAGATGTACATATGTTTTTTGAAATTGTTAACAGAAGATGATAATTTTAGTTTTTTTTATTAATGTATTACTTCATAAAATTATTTAATAAATTTAATAAAATTTTGACTTACATTTATTTTGGATGTGTTTAGGGCATATTTATAGAGCATATTTTAAGGTTTTTTTGGTTATATTTTAACGCATATTTTAGTATTTTTGGTGCTATTAAATCCGAACCCTGATTATAACTGACAATTTTATAAATATTGTTAATTTTCGTAATTTTTATGAAGTTTTGCTAAAATCTAATAATAAAATGTTTAAAAAATTTATTTTTGAAATTAAACATAATTTTATCATTAACCATTAACAGACGGATATGTATGAAAAACTGTATACTACATTTTCAAAATTCTCTCAATCCAATATTGTTTAATCAATATTTTAGCGAAAAAAGCTAAATAATATAAAATTTAAAATCTATAAATAGCTCCAAAAAAATTTAAGATCTTTCGAAAATTATAACATCCATAGCAGTATTTCTCAATGTTTGTATTCGACGACACACTATTAAAATATTTTAACTTCCTGACACACTAAAAAATAAAAATAAAGTAAAAGTCAAACAAAAAACATAATATTTAAGAATTAATACATTATTTTAATTAGAAATAGTTAAATCAGAATTCTAAAATTCATATGTTTTAAATAATATGCTTCAATAAATTATACATAAATTTACATTATGTATCATTTAATATACCTCGCTGACCATTTACCCTTATCCCATGACACAGTGGTAACACTGAGTTTTTTGTAATTATTATTAAGAAAACTATTGAAAATTTCATAAAAGAACCCCTGTGCTATCAAATACTGACTAGATAAAATTTGCTATCCCAAAATTGTGATGATTGAGGCATTCCCTCAAAAGACACCATAAAAAAAAAACCAATACATGGTTAACTAATACATACCATGTTTTATTCAAGATCTATAAAAATAATATTTAAAATTTAATTATTATGTTTATTTTTAATAAACTGCTTAACTAATGATTGTGTTTTATATTTTTTATAATTGTTATAAATGAAAAGCTATCAAACTAACAATTTATACATTAAATATAGCACTAAAATATGAAAGGGAATTATTTTATTCATAATGATGATATTTAAATATATTATGTACAAATTTTTTAAAATGTTTATATTATAATTCTATAATACTGAGTATGATTTTTCCTTTGTTATAGTTTAAATGTAATAAAACAGTAAATATAGCTTATAAAATAACATCAGTGTAGATTTATCAGTCCTTGAAAGTACTGAGAAATCTAAATTATAGGGTACAACAAGATTTTTGATTGAATATGACTCAGAGCCAATTCTTAAATATTTATTGAACATAAACTATGAAATACCTTTAGAATAATTTTCTAACAATAAATGAAAATGTCCTAATTTGCAATACGTTTTGGAATCAATGTTGATTGCTTTTGAAGATTCACCTTCTGATTTTTCTTTCTGCATTTGCATTAACATTCTTTCAAGGTACTTTATTGCCTAAACAATAGATACACAATATTAACATATAATTTAAAATAAGTTAGTAGAATATATATATATATAACAATTTAGTTAATAATAAAGAAAAATCAATAATAATAATAAATTAATACTAATCTATAGTTAATTATATAAGTTTTACAACTTCAATGTCGGTTAATTTATTAACTTCCGTTACCCGTGTAAAGTAAAATGTACTGTTTTAAAATGTATCATTAAATAGATAAAAATAATCTAAAAAATTTAATAAAAAATAAATTTTTCTAGCTTCCTAAAACTAGATTATTTAACAAAGATTATTATTATTATTTTTTGCATATCAGTTTCAAGTTTGTTATTTTATAATGTTCATAATGGCCATTTAAATATTTCATAAGATAATAAATTTCCACGTCTATCAAATTTTTATTAATCCTAAGCTCATAAGAGCAAATAAAGGAGGACTGAATGGTTGCAAATTACGCTCTTCTCATTTTAAATAAGAAAGGACTTTGAAGAACTAGGGTTATAGTCTTCCCTTAAAAATAAAGATTAGACTATATAGTATAAATAATATATATATATATATGAAATATATTATCAATTCTATTTGTGCGTTTTTACTAAAGTATATAGATACTAATGGAGCGAATGTAATTTGTAGTGAACATAAAGTTAAAATCCACCCAAATTTTTATTATTTGTCTTAATTGGTAAGTTTTAATAAATAATTTTGATATAAAAATATAATTATGGCATTTCTTATGATAATTATTTTGTTCAAAAATAGGTTTTTATAAGGTTTAATTAAATTTTAATTTTTTTAAAAATAGGTAGTATGAAATATACGGTTTTAAATTATTTTTACTTATCAAATGTTTTTTGATTTTATAATTATTTTTCAAAATTAATATACTTCAGTAATAAATATGGGTGTTTGCCCTTTGTGAGACAAACACTAATGTTTGATGGAATACATTTTATAAAAAAAATTCATTAGGAAGCATTTTATTTTATACTATATTAATTAGGTACCTAGAGTAAATAAACTATTATTATTGCATTTTCCCCTTACTATTAATTCATAAGATATAATAAAAATATTGGAACAGAATACAACTAAAGATACCAATACAATAAACCCTAAAAATAAACTACCATACAATAAGTTAACACATAAGAGCAAAGTTTTGATTTAAAATTATTTGGATGAATTGTGGATAGAACTGAAAAAATATACATAAAGCTTAAATTATTTAAATTTTAATGATTGTTGGTTATTCAAAGAACAATATGGAAAATATAATGAATTATAATAAATATTAAATGTAAGTTTTAAAAGCTCTTGGTAATTTTATATTAATTGATTTTATTGTAGTTTTTTTTTTAATTGTCAAATAAGTATAATTACAAAAGTTATAAGTATTTAAAATAGATATAAGAAACAAATGTAAAAAAATATTCTGTTACAATTTAAATATCTAATATTCTATTTTAGTGTATTACTATTATTGGTTGTATGGTGTGAATATAATCAAACTTTTATATTATACTTATTAATCAAATTTTTAATTTCTTTTTTTCAAAAATGTAATTTTTTTGATTAAACATCTTAATATAAATAAATTTAAATTTAAAAAAAAACCTATTTACATAATGGTTACATTATAATTTTATACAACTTGAACTATATTAATTTTTTCACAAAGGTTCAAAAGACTTGAAACTATTTACAGCAACTTTATTGTATCTATCAAACATTGTTTTTTTCTGAAAGTAAGGGTTACAAGATGATATCCAAGATGTTATCATAAATAAATAAATTAATAAAAGAAGATTTAATATCTTATCCTAAAGAATATAGGATTCTACATTATACCAGTAAATACTTGGTTTCTAAGTAAAAAAAATTATTATAATAATTAAACTATAATATCCATTATTTTAATTCATTATCTTACGTTAATTTTAAAATTATATTAGGTTAATATACATACTTTTAAAACTAGTGTTTTTTTCTTTTCTTCTTTTGGATCATTCAACTTCAAAAAGCCATACATACGACTAAAATTAAAAAATATATACATAAAAATCATCACGAAATATACCTAGTTATGTTCAATATTTTGTATGTTTTAAAGATAATAATTAAAATATAAAATTTTAAGGACATTTATACTCAATATTCGAGTTAATAATTTAAAATACACTAAAAATAAATAATGTCAATGATAATTACTAATATGTCTATTAAAATGAGAAATGGATAGTACATAGCAAAATCCTTTCATTTTTAAATTTTTCATTAAAAATAATAACCCCATCAAATATTATTGTATACTTAATTTTCACAATACCAACCTTGGATTATATCATATCCCATTCAATCGAAGATTTAATTGAATGTAATTTAAATGTTCATTGTACAATTTTTACATACTAAAGCCAAAACTTACTTTATTTTCAACAATTACTTTTGGAGAATTGTTAATCCATGGATTACTGTTGACTCACAGGCTCATTATTATAACAATATATTACTTATAAATTGATTAAGTATTGGAACTTGCTAAGAATACATTTTACAAAAGTTTTTAGTTGATTTTAATTTCACAATAATATATATTAAAATTTAAAACTTAATTCAATACCTACTAGTAAATCAATAAGAATATTTATATCTTATATGTAAAAATAAAATATAAATTAGGATTATAGTGAAAAATTATGGCTTTAAAAATTATATAACAAATATGGGTAGCTACTTATCGACAATATAAATAATAAATCATCATACATATGATGAAAATTGGCTAAGTATAAAGACATTTAAGAATCATAATAATGTAGAGAAAATCAAAATCAATCATTCAGGCCTAAATTGTGATCACAGACATAAAAAAAAAAAAATAATAAATACACATCATGGTAAAACCAATACATTTATCTTTATATTCAGAATTTTAAATATGAAAGCCAGTGATGTTAAACTTTTATACTTGATATAAAAGATAATCAAAAAATATAGATAGGCAAGATAAATGAAAGATAAAAAGAGACGTAGATAGATAAGTTGTGTACAAATATTAAAAAAATATATGACTGTAAAAAATAAATTCTAATATTTTATTTCAATTTCTAACAAAAACTCAGTAAATGTATACCGTATTTATTAATTATATTTTGATATATTTCTAAAAACTGATAGAAATAACCATAAAATATCAATTTTATTCAACTACTAAATTTATAATAGGACCATTAAAACTAATTAATCATAAATAATTATATAATTACAGTATAGAATTAGTACTATATAAAATATTTAAAAAATTCAAAAAATTTGTTATTGTTATTCTTCATAATGATATATATTTACAACAATAACTGTTTGACTAAAAACATGTAGCTTATGAGATACTTACATTATTTGTTGATTTTTATAAGTATACATAGAAACAATATTAATATATAATTAGTTTTTATATAAAAATAAATAAATTATACTCTAAAGCAGAGGTTCCCAACCAGGGTGCCGCAGCACCCTAGGGTACCACGAACTTAAATTTAGGGTGCCTCAAAAATATTTGAAATATATATTTATTTTTAAACGCCTTCATGAAAAATATAACACTGTGAGTAATAAAATAGACTATACTCTATGACATAGTCTTTGTCTATAGTATAAAACCTATTGTGTATAATTAATTAGGTATATACAATACAATTTAATATATTAATTATATAACACATAATATTTACATAGTAATACTGAGATATTCAATCTATTTTCATTTTCATACTGGTTCGATTGCTATGGATTTGATGTGAACTGTTTTAAAGTTATTTACAGTGAAACATTTGTGACTTTATCTTATCTTTATTGTTTATTAATGCTAAATAAAACCGAAGTTACAAAATATAAATTTAATAATAAGATATATTACTATTGCATATTCAGTATAAACTATAGAGTATAGGGCATAGGCTATAAGGTGCCTCTAAATTTTTAGAAAATAATAAAGGATGTCGCGAGTCAAAAAAGGTTGGGAACCTCTGGCCTAAAGTATTATGTGTGTCATGTATAATTGATTATGAATTAAAAATTCATCATAAAAAAGGTTATTGTGACTATAAAAATTAGGCTATGCATTCATTTATTTATATATTAATTTATGAGAATTAACTATTTACTAATTTTTATTTTATTTCATTATTTTAAATAATATTATTCTTCTTTGTTCTAAATGGATAACTGAATCAATTAAAATACAATATTCATCAAAACCTACAGATGGTACTACACTAACAAAATTTATCTTTATATCAAAATAATATCATATACCAAAATATTAAAAAACCAAAGATTTTGTTTATGAGTTTTAATGAAAAACTGAATTTTTATTAAATTCACCTCTATCATACTACATTTATTATATTATCTAATATTTAGAATTATTGCCTATTTATAAGTATGTTGTTTAATATATATATTAAATCAATCATATCATAAAAACTAGTAAAAAAATTACCAAATTAAGCAATGATTTAAATCTATCATTAAGAATAAACTTAATTAAAAAGAAGATTTAATTTTCTTAATTTGTATTAAAGAATGAATTAATATTTAATTAAATCTTTAAGGACTTGAATAAGATAGATTATTAAAGTTTAATTATTTAAAAGTTGAAATACAAAGGGAATATCACATGAGTTTACAAACTAACTGTATTATTACTACCTAAATTTATAATTATGATTCAATTATTTTATTCAATTTAAATTAGTATCATAAGTGAACTGAATATTATTACTCATTACTGTATATTAACTTTCATATAATTATCATAGTTTGCATTCTTTAACAATTTATTAGTTGATCAGCATTATTATAAAATGGTAAAATGAAATTATGGAAGGGTCAAAAAATGTTAAAAATTATTTTCAATATTAGTCAGTATTTCATTAGTCATCATATTAAACCCAAAAATCCAATTAAGTAGAATTAAATAAAATGCTCTAGCTGTAATAGTTAATAGTACTCAAGTGTATATAATATAGTGTATATATAATTATAGGATATATTTTTTACCTGTCCAAGTCCGACAACATTTGCAATTCTTGATTGGTTAAATTAATTTCCCCGTAATCTTCCATAATAATTAACAATAAAAATACAAAACGGTCAAAAATAAAATAATTAAAGATATTTTAACAATTAAATATATAGATATAATATTTGATGTATATTATAAGAAAAAAAAAACGAAATAAATTATCTAAATAGATATATTTTAAATGAAAACTTCAGAATAATTGCACAAAGTTATGAACAAACGGTAATAACAACACATAATGAAAATATACAAAACATTTTAATAGGTCAGCGACCCATTAAAAACAATGTAAACATTATGAAATCTTTTAAATAAAAACACAGCGGAATGTAAAAAAGCAATAAGTGGAACACGGTAACACGTATAATCACACGAATCGAAAAATAAAAATCCGTCGCGTATTATCCGGTTGAGGAATAGACGGAAGTTGATAACAGTCCCCGCCGCCGCAAACGTAGGTATTTGAGGTTATGGGTTGGTATAACGTGGCCCGCGCAAACGGACGTTATGCGGTTACCAAGGTTAACAGTGGATCTTTTGCCGAGATCACGAACTGACGTGCCGACGCGCAGTCAGGCGATGACACATACCCGTTCAGGGTCATTCAACTTTTTCCGGCCGTAAGGTTAACGCACCTATTTGTTATTAACATTCAATTATGATAATCTACGCGATGGCGTTGTTCGGAATCGAAAAGTGATGAACTTTTGTCGCGAAATGTATCGATACATTCGTGTACGCCTCCCACAGACCATACGGCCGCACGTGAATGCGATACATAAACGAACCAGAGCATATTTTAACGTACAAAGTACGTGACACTAGTGACCCCCCCCCCCCCCCCCCCCCCCCCCCCGGTGATAATCGAATGGTACCCTGTGGGTGAGTGATCGTGCCACTAACCAACACATTGTCATAACAACCACAACGACAGGAGTTGATTTTCCCTGTATGTTCTGCATAACATGCAGAAAACCTGAGACACTTCTACACGACTACGATGGTAGACAATTTTATTGAAGTGCCACCTAGTGAAAATTACTTAAAATATGTTCCGACACAAACGCAGACAACTGTTCGTTCCATCATCGACCCTCGCGGCGTGCTTACGTTATTTCACGTACGCGCAACGCTCAACGAACTCGCCTCCAACGAGTTGCTATGGATATGAGTATTTATGCGGATACCACAACAATACGAAAATCCATAGAGTGGTGTACCATTGCATTCGGGTTAAGTCGACGCGAACAATACGCGTGTTTATCTGTCGGATTGAAACACTCGTAGAAATAATTACCCGTGAACTAATTATAAGTCGTAGGTTGAACACATTAAAAATATGGTAAGACATGATGACGATGAAAATTAAACGTATTTATCGCTTTAGAAACGCAGAGAAAATGTATTTTAGTTCCTCACATAAATCGTATCTTACGCGTTATCGGTGGATTTGTTTAAAGAGTTAACATTGTTTTTTATAGATACTATCACGTGTAAAACCTGCGGTAGAACCGCAACCAGAGAAAGCTCAACCGACGAGCCATAAGGTAAATGCCAAGGATTTCATCGAAAAAAGGGACTACACTGGAGCTTTGACAGTTTTAAAAGTATATTTTTTTAATAATTTCAAATAATCGTATTTTATTGTGCAGTTGCAATCTACATAATAAAAAGTAAAATGTGTAGTAGAAACATGCAATATAAACTAAAATTATAAGTTATATTAGTTACACGGAATATAGGACATAACTATGGTCAGCAATGGCGTAGTCAGGAACTTTTTATGGCGGGGGTTCAGTAAATTTATAGTAGTAGTAAAGTATCTAAATATGATCATAATATTATGACGCGCGCGCGCGCGCGCGTGTGTGTGTGTATGTGTGTGTGTGCAGCGTGTTTATAATACGTTTATAGTGTTTATTCAAATTATTAATATGATTTCCAAGTCAAAATTCTATAATATAAAAATATTAAAGAAAAAACCGTGTTTCATGTAAAAGTTAATTTACCATCTCAGGTTAGTGGGGGGGGGGTTCTGACCCCAACCCCCCATGAATACGCCACTGATGGTCAGTATCAGTGGTGTAGTGGACCCGTATCCACGGGTATACGGCATAAAACGACTTCTCTATTTTTTTGTTGTTGAGTATACTCATAATATAATTTTTGATACGGTGGTATACGGGTTTACTAGTTATACTATACATATATACTTTATAGTTATAAATAATATTAGCTAATTTTGTAATTATTTTTTACAAAAATCAAAAATAACAAATATATTTCGTTGTTATCACGTTTATTAAGAAAAATTATTATTATTACATTTTACACGTCTATTTTTAGTTTTATTGCACGAAAATATAGTTAAAAAGGACCAAAAAAATGGGTGTGGGGTAAGGGATTCATCCCACTCACACTTTTTTCTTACAATTGGCGCATACTTAAGACTTTTTAGGACTACATCACTTGTCAGTATGGATACAGAATGTAGATGGAATCGTAGAGAAACACGATCTCATAACAGTTTAATTTGATTTAAACATTTTAAAGTACATTATCATGTTAATATGTTATGTAACTACTATATAAAAATAAATTATGATTAAGTAATAGATATATTTTGTAAAGCAAGTTAAGAAATATTCAATATACATTTCACATATTTTTCTGACTGAGATTTCTTTTGTGATGTTAGAGCGTTGAAAAACGTTCTGGAGTTCTTAGTTGTGTCATTTCCTCCATTCCCCGGTTTGCTCATCTTCTTATATAGTCCAAAAATCCATCTCATAATTTTGTTTTCGAAAAGTTCCAACTTCATTGTTCCGCTTTCCTAGAGGCTAAATTTCCGAGCCGTATAGTACTATTAGTACTATTAGGCGTATCAACGTCATATATGACGTGATATATTTATGTACATTAATATTTCAAAATATAATTGATTTTATATCATGATTGATTATTTTTAAACTCGTAAACTCGTTTAGTTTTTTTTGCTTTCTGTAGTAAAAATGTTTCCTCGGTACTTGAAATATTTCATATTTAATGTCTACGTAAATCGCACTCATCTTAATTTATGTATCTCTATGAATGAGTATTGATTTATGACATACATAGTAGTGTCTTCGTAAAGACACACCATTTAAAAATTGTATTTATTACTAAAATAATTAATAATATAAAATATAATTTTACAATATGATAGAACCTAATTCATTTTTCGTTTATCTTTTAGTTTGAATTAGAAAAATTGAAAGAAGACGTGGATTTAGAACAATGGCTTGCGTATTGCTATTTTCATTTAGGCGATTACAATAACGCAATGTTAATTTACAAAAACCTTAGCGAATTTTCAAAACCAAAACATGTATATGTTAATTTAGCATGTTGCTATTTCTACTTGGGCATGTACCCGGAAGCTGTTGAAGTATTTTACAGATAATAACTTTACGAATTTGATTAATATTGTTGGTGTACTTATTAAAATAGGCATTAGAAAAGTCCGAAATATCGGACGTAAAAACTCGATTACAATTTCATTTGGCACATAAACAAGGCGATGAAAAAAAGCTTATGGAGTATCATGAAATTTTAGCGGATGTGGTTGAAGACCAACTGTCGCTAGCGGCTATACATTATCTCAGATCACATTATCAAGAGGCAATTGATATTTATAAAAAGTTGATAATTAATAATCGGTACACATAAATTATAAATTAAATTATACTTCTATTTACTATAGTTTATTATACATATTACTCACAAAATATTTAGTAATGATATCGATTAGATATTTACATACACATATATGTAAAAACAATATGCAGATATAAAACTCATAATGAATTTACCATATTCTTTATATTATACAGGAATTTTTTAGCATTGAATGTTTACATGGCTCTTTGTTATTACAAATTAGACTTTTATGATGTCTCTCAAGAAATTTTAGATGTATATATTAAAAAATATCCAGATTCCATGATTTTAACTAATTTGAAAGCTTGTAATTTATACAAATTATATGATGGAAAAGCAGCTGAGGCAGAGTTAAAAAACCTTATAGTAAGTTATAGAATCATCTATTAACTTAATCTTAATGATTCAACATAGATATTAATATACAATGTAATATTGTGCAAGGCAAGAAGATCGTTGACATTTAAATTTTGTGAAGATTTAATCAGACACAATATGGTTGTGTTTCGTGAAGGAGAAGGTGCATTACAAATCTTACCGGGTCTTATTGATATTCTTCCAGAAGCTCGTCTTAATTTAGTCATATATTATTTGAGACAAGGTGTAAATGAAGAAGCATATGAGTTAATTAAAGATTTAGAACCTGCCATTCCGCAGGAATATGTTTTGAAAGCTATTGTTAATGTGGTCGTTGGTCAAGAAAAAGGAGATGTAAATGAAAAAAATAAGTAATCAGGAACAGATTTTTAATTCAGTATTAAACTTAACATTTTTAAATCATACTATATGACGTCACAAAACTATAAATTGCAGATATCTCTTTACATCATAATCTTAAATAATCCACTCGGTATATAATTACTAACTTTAATTAAAAATACTTTTAATTTATTATTTTTTTGTTAAAAAATATATTTAATACCGTTTAGGGAATTTGTATTTAATTATGTTATACTAATAAAAAAATTTACCCTAATAATTAGGTACTCATAATTTATTTAAAATTAACATACATTAAATCAGATACATTTTTTTATATATAGCATTTAGACATTATTAAATTTACAATTAATTAATTAATGAATAGTGACTCATAACTGAAAAAAATTTGCATTTCACATCTAGTAAATAATAATTGGTACATGTAGATTAAATATTCATTAGGTATTCATTTTTGAAACTACATATAGATAAACTTAACTTTTAGATATTTGTAGAGATTAAGTTTAAAAGACTTATGTATAGTTTTTTTTCATTTCATGTCATAGTTTATTACTTTCTATAAAAATGTTAAAATATTAAATAGTTGACTTCATACTTTTCACTAATGGTTTTTTGGTTCTAGTTAAAGAATACATTTTATAACATTTTCAGCCATAGGCACATAAACAATATAAGACATACACTTACACATACATACACATATTATGTATACATCTATCTATATATATGTTGCCGGCAATATTGATAATCCGGTATTTTATAAAATACCTAGGCATTATATTAAATGTCAAAAATCACTCGGTAATATATATAATACGAGCTTTGCCTGTGTAGGTATTATGTATAATGCTAATCGTGGAGTAGTCAATATGAAGAAAACAAACGAAATTGGGCATCGCCTATTACTAACTGTACTTATTGCTCATCATAAATGTGCGTTCACAATTTAACTCAATAAAGATTAATATTCTTTTACTACTATAATAATAATTCTGAGATACAATATTGAACGTACTAATAATTTTATAATTTTATTATAATATCGTATTTTTTCTCGTCATTTTCGTGTCTCGTTTTGGTGTTGGAACTATGTATACGATTTATATGAAATTTTATAACACGCTACAACATTTTTTTTAAAAAATTGGCCACTAATACTAGTTTGTTATCTGATATATAATACAAAGAGTCAATAAAAATTCAATCCACAAGAATTGGCCAAGGATTTTTAAAATGTGTTTGTAAGCCCAAGTGTCAAAATAAAAAGTGTATTTGCTTTAAAAATAACATTTTGTGCACTTCAAAATGTCACTTTTCCACAACATGTTATAATAAGCAAACAGTAGTTTAAGTAAAATATTTATATAATAGTAATAATATAATAATAGATAAAAATTAAATTTTGTCTGTAATATGAGTAATAATGTATAATAATTATAAGAATCTTAATGTAATATAACATATAATAAAATGTTTTGTATTTTGTCTAAAAAAAAAATTGGCATTTTGCATAATGCCTAGGTATTTTATAAAATATCTGAATCATCCATACTGCCGGTAACATATATATACATATCGTTTAGTAACAAATATTAAAAATAAATTATATATCAATTCAAGAAGTTTAGAAATTTAACATAGGTAGTACTTATATTGGCTATACTCTTATAATATCTTTATTATAATTATTATATATAACTTATTAACTATTAAAAACATACAATATTCATTAAATTTAAAAATCTATTCCTTTATTTTATTTTTACAAAATTCATTATACAGTTATTCTTATGTGTATCTAATATTTTTAGGCAAAGCAAATTGAGAATGGACAGAGTTTATTCAATATGGTAGGAAGTAGTTCTAGTGAATGTGATACAATACCAGGTCGACAATGTATGGCTTCATCCCTATTTTTAGAAGGACGTTATGATGAAGTTAGCTTATATTTGAGTTCAATAAAAAGTTATTTTTCAAATGATGATAGTTTTAATTTTAATTTTGCTCAGGTATTTTCATTATCTGTTGTTTTTTTTTTAATAACATAATAAACATTTATTTAACTTTTCAAATAGGTTAAATTAGCTTTAGGTGAGTATAAGGAAGCTGAAGAAATGTATTTGCAAGTTAAAAATACAAAAATACAAGAGAGTTTTATTTTTATTAATCATTTAACACATTGCTGTAAGTTTTTTTCTAACAAATAATAAATTAATTATATCTAAAATATCGATGATTCATGATTATGAATGGACTTATGATGTATGAACAGTGACGGTGCTAGAGTTTGCGAGACCCTGGGCAAAATAAATATTGGGTCTTACAATTTATATTAATAAAATATTTTTAAGTTCAGTTAAATCAGAACCGCGGGGCCTTAATTATAATTTAAGGCGTGGGGCCCTGGGAAACTGTCACTATTGTCCTCCTTCTCGTGCCGTCCCTGTGTATGAACAACATACATTGTGTAGACCTATCAGTGGCGTATATAGAAAATATTTTCGGGAAGGGCTACTACAGAGTTAAATTACCACTTGTATCTAAGAATTATTAATAAGACACAGTAGGTACTTATCTACATTTCATTTACAGAATGTTCCAAAACGATTTGATGTTGGACGCAAATTCTAAGTAAGCATAAAGTACCATTAAAATATAACATACGTTTAAAATAATTTGTAAGTTCTTTAAAAAATTTCGGGGGGAAGGGGGCTGTAGCCCACTAGTCCCCCCCCCCCTATATACGTCACTGAGACCTATACGAATGTGACTATCTACCACTAAATAATATTTAGTAATATACAAAATAGCATTTTAAACTTCAGAATTTTTAATAAAGCAATAGTTTAAAGTTAATTGAATGCCATTAAAATATGTGCGAAATTGATTAATAATGTATTTTTTAGTTATTATGAATAAAAAACCACAATCAGCATGGGATTTATATTTGAAAATGGAAAATTCACAAGATTCATTAATAATTTTACAATCTATTGCAAATGACTGTTATAAAACTAATCAATTTTGGCAATCAGCTAAAGCTTTTGATATGCTTGAAAGGTTGGATTTGTTGCCTGAGTATTGGGAAGGAAAACGTGGTGCTTGTGCGGGTATATTTCAACAAATTGTTCTTGGCAATCAACCAAAGTGTGTATAATAATCAAGTTTTTTTAATTACGTTTTTGATCTTAAGAATTTAAATAATACATAAGACATACAACCTATAAAAAATATATATGTTTGGTATATACCTATATACAGAGGTGGAACTAGGAATTTTTACAGCTGGGGTAAAAAATTACACCCTACCATAGATCAATAATTAAATATTCTTCTCGAGAATTTTTTTCTAATAATTAATATAAAATCATATTTATTGAGTTTAACCTGATAACAGTATTTAACAAAGTTAAAAATATCAAATTAGTTGTTAATAATTACAAAAATTATACCCTCTAAAGTTGTACGCCCGGGGATGAATCCCTGTCTTCCAACCCTAGTTCCACTTATGTGTATACATATGTATATTTGAATAATATTATTATATATCAATCAAGAATTATTATAACTCCATAAGAATAAGATTATTATGATACGAAATAAAATATAAACTTAAAAATATTAAGATTATATGATATTAAGTACAAAATAAATTAAAAAACATATTTACTTATGTATATGTGGAACACCAATTATTCGGATTTATGTAAAGGTGATCCAGATAATTCACATATGACACATCAAAAGTCTTATAATTGCATGAACATATTTTATATATTTATTATTTAAATGTAATATAATTTGAAATTTATAACAATAAACAAATAATTTTATTATAGTATTTAACTATAAAGGAATAAACTAAATAAACCAAGTAAAAGGATAATTGTAAGGAATCATTTTTATTTATACATATACATATGTTTATGTACATTATTTATACATGTATTTTTATTTATATATATAATATACATTATATATTATATACTTCCATAATTAAATGGTGGATATCTAATTATCAATGTTAAAATACTATTTACGAGTTATTAAAAGACCAATGTTTTTTTCGTCCGATTCTCGTCTGAATAATTGGATGTCTGATTGATTGAGGTTCGAATAATCAGCATTTCACTGTATATAAATCAATAACTTCCATATTTAATATGTTTAAATTACTTAAAATAATCATTTTGCTAATAACAAACTTTTCATTCAATGAATTGAAAAAATTATTTTAAGTTTACAAAAATAAATTATATATATAAAAATGCTCCAGATTATCTGAAAGCATATTACCATAAATAATTTCCAAAATAAGTCACTATGTAAATTTTACAGAATAATAACCACGAACTTTCAAAATACAGTTTTATATAGTTTTAAAAGTTTATAATTACTTTAAAATAATCTAACCAAAGATATTTAATTTTTATAATTAAATACAATAAATATATGAATAAAAATACTTTTAATTATACTAGTTTACTTTTTTTGACACAAGAATTCACTTGTATAATATCCTACTTTTTAAATTAAATAGATACCAACCTATTATAAAATATAATTAATTTTATGACCACTTTAAAAGTATTGATGAATTATATTTGTGTATTTTAGGGATCTAATAGCCGATGTTATTCAATTATTAAGAAATTCTGCAAATTCTCAAGTCGAACAAATTATTAAAATGATGAAGAAATGGGCAAAAAATAACAAAGTAGTTGTTTAGGTGTATCAATTGGTATGTATAATATATGTATCCGTCATAGATACAAGACTTTGATTTACAGTTGAATAGTCGAACCTCTATTCCCCTTATTATATATATATATAATAAGTATTGTATATTCAATATTGTATTTTAGTGACCAACATAGCCTTGCACAGACTTCAACTTCCGGTCAAGCATGGATACAATTAGTGCCCCCATACTTAGACAGTGCTCTTAATTTTTCTCTAACACTTCAACGTAGTAGATCTGTTGTAAATTAAAAACAATATAGTATTTATATCTATACATAGAATCAAGTATTATATTGCTAATTTTTAGACATGTATTTTTGAAGTTAAAAGTAAAACTTTAAATTTTTTAAAATCAAATTATATAAATACAACAAATTGATTTCCACGAACATATTAAAATATATGTAGACATTTTACTACGGTTAGTTTGAATTTTACTATGCCCCCAAAAAAATTCCGGTCAAGCCGGAGTTCGCCCGGCTCGCCCCGTGCGCACGCCTATGGTGACCAATGCCATTAAGCGTCCACCCGGACTTTTGGTGACTTAAATTAAAGAGGACACATAATCTTACCTTAAATAAGAAAGGGGACTCTGTCCCCCTCCGTTCCCCCATTTTAACCACTGTATATACTATATATACATTCCTAAAAATAACTAATTAATATTTAATTAAATAAATATTTAATTTTCAGAATTTTTGTATAGAAGCTAATTTTTTTAGTAACTATGTTATAACTGGATTTGAATTATTTTGAGTTATTATTCCTTAGTAACCAGTTCCTGGAGATTTCACAGCAAGTTAAAACTTCTAAAATGTATGGGCTCGTACACACAACTATAAACGTAAACCTAATAAAATAACAACTATGTTATGTAATTATGTAGATTAAATAATACTAACTTGATAATTATTTTTGTAATAAATGTTGACTAATACCTATTTAATAGTCTTACTAGAATATTATTGTTGTATCAACTAATTTATAAATGTAATCAATTTTTATAATTTATTATAAGTGGTATGTAATAATTTTAACTACGGATAAAAATACAATATTTTTCAAAAATGAACGGTTTTTTAAACGCAATAATTGACATTACTGGTTGAATATTATAGATACCTACCAATCCTTAACTATTTGTTGTATCTTTTAAACCTACTTAGTTCAATTCTTATACATTTATCTATAAGCATTGTACTAACTTATAATTTATAATACTAAGTATAAAATTAAAATCACCAAAAAAAAAAATATTATTAAGTAACAAATAACTCAATTACTCATTATAACTGTATAGTTAACAATATTTCATATAATATATATTATGTATTATAAATAATTATTGTCATTATAGTTTTTTATACGCGTAAATGAACAGATAAATTTGTATCCAGATTTTATATAAAATATCGTATCTATATCCTGATTTATTTTCGGAAGTAGACACACTGAACAATTGTTTTTTACCTGTTGATAATGAAGATATTATTACTATTATCTATAATCAACTAATACTTACAAATTAAATTACTTAAAATTATTTAATTTTTAAATTTTAATTATACTTACCTTTATGATGACTAGAAATGTACTCATATAAATATTTAAGTATTTTGACTTTTAAGTTTAGTATTAATTGTTTATTTTATTTTAATTCAACATGGATTTATTAATTGCTGAGATGGAAAAATTGTTAAATTTAGATAAAGAAAAATGTGACATTCAAGGCATTACAGGTAAAAATATATTTTATTTTACTCCTAAAAAGTTTTATTATTTACTTATAATAATTAATTATTTTCAGGTAGTTTATAATTAAATTAACAATCAATATTAAAATATTATTATTTAGCCAAAGTCTTATCATATTATTTTTATTTATCTATGTAATAAATAATGTATTTTGTAGACATTTTGTATACTTATGATTTCAGATGAATATGCTGGAAAAAATATTGATGATTTGTTAATTGAAGCTGATAAAATAATCAGTGAAACACTCCCATACTTTCAAACGTCTTCCAGTTTAAATAAAGTTAAATCATCTAAAGATTTTAATGATATAAAAATGAGTCCTATAAACAAAACAATAGCAAATAAAAACAATCAAAATGATACAAAAAAAGTTGTTTTTAATTTAAAAAACAATTTTCATAAAGTGCAAGAACAAACATCAGAAATATCTGGTTTGTATAAAATATATAATTTTAGTGCTTTAAAAACATTAAATTAATAAATATTTTTTATATTTTTAGGAAAAATAACTATAAATAAATATGTTATAGACAAAGAAAAAAAGAAAAGTATAGGTTCTTCATCTTTAAAAAATTGTGCCTCATTAGAGTTTGAGGTATTTCTATAATATCATTCACTATTATTTTTAGTATCATTGTGAACTTATTTCACTAGCTAATGTTGAGACAGCTACAAAAGCTTCTTTTCCAGTACTTAAAATTTCAGATGGTGGTAAAATGAATCCATATTTTCCTGTATCTCTCAATTCTATTGTGTATGCATATTTTATTTTTGCTACTCCTTTAGCCCAATCATCAGATGCTCCTAAAAATGTATGAAAATGTTATATATATATAAATTAAGTTGTTTTAAAAATAAAAATTTGTATTTACCGGCTGCAGGATATAATAGTGTTGCACTATTACCAACAGTATACTCTACTGATGTAGTTTTTTTGATTGCTGTGGCTATAACTTGACCTACTCTTTGTACTTCTGTATGATCAGATGGTACTCGTTTGGCATATCCCCATGGATATAAAATATACTGTCCATAACTATGGAATGTCACAAATCCCTAAAAGTATTAGAGTTTAGTGTAATACCACAGTATTATATATTATATATAGTATTCTATTGTAATATTTAATGATTATTAAAATGTATAATGATATTTTTTGAAGTTAACTAACTTTAAATATTTTAGGATTTTTCATAATATATTTGACAACTGCTTGGGTTTCTGGTTCAGATCCAGCTTTAACTCCTCGGTAGATTTCTGCACATGAATATTTGCTCGCTCCACTCTCACCCCAATGATAATCCCAGTTACGATTTAGATCTGTTCCTATACATGAGTTAGCTGTGGGCTTATTTCGATTTTTACGCCATAAACGTTCCTTTTCATGGGAATGTTTGTATCTATATATAATAATACATTTTATTTCAGCTATTTTCATGCAGATATATTTAGGAAAAATACTAACCCATCAGGATTTACAATTGGTAATATATGAAATTCAATGTTTTTCATATGTGGTTCTAAGGAGTCTCTATTGAATACTAATTCATTAATTATGTATAAAACTGAAGACACGGCAATCCATTCCCTTGCATGTATTCCTCCGTCAACCCATATGGATTTAATGTCAGTTGTGTTTTGATCCGGCTTAATTTTTATTACTCTTAACGGAACACCTTGATATGAGTTACCTATATTTTGGACTTCTACAAAATCTGGATATTCTTGAGTTATATAATCAATGTATTTATATATATCACTTATTTTATGGTAATTTTGAAATGTGACATTGTGTCCTGATAAAATGAACATGTTGTTATACATTTTATTTATTGATTTTGGTCTTAAAATTATTAAGTCAAGTAATTTGTGAAGTATAATTATTATATAAAAATTTTTTTTACCTTGTCGTCCAGAGAGTTCATCTTCATTCATTGGTGGATTTTCTTCATTAATAGCTCGTTGTATATCATCAATAAATACATCAAATGATAGTGATCCATTATTCAATGCATTTTTTACAATTATTGAATTTGCTTTTTTTACCATTATATCTACTGATGTAGAATTTGTAAACCATTTTTGAATTACTAAAAATAAATATTAATTTTATTACCTATACTAATTATTAAAAATTGTGAATGTTTACTTACATCCTTGATTTTCAAGTTCCTTAATTGTTTTCCTTTGCTTTGAATTTACAGTTTCTACTCTTAATACTTGATCTCCATCATAAGATATTTTTTCTTCAATATTTCCTTGTTGACTGTCATTTTGTGAACATATAGTATATTTTGATAGAGCTACAAGTGTAAATACACAGTAAATCACTTTGGAACAACCATCCATTTCGAACAACTAAATGAGGATAAACTAAACTAATTCTTGACCACAGGGAACTCTTTAATGTTAACAGAAACCGGTACTGTGCTATGATTTCAATCCAAGCCACACCTATTTGATGTTTTATTTATACAACTGAAGTAGTTATTGACCAAAATTTCTACCTACTGACCGAAACATGAATTGAATATCTTTTTGTTATAATCTTTACTTTCTTATTGAATTTAATTACTAAAAAAATATAAAACCTAATTTCTAATATCTACAATAGATCTTTTCATACTAATAGCCATTTAATAGTAATTGTATTTATTATCTTTAGTTTATTTATTAAAACGATGAATAGCCTGTATTAATTTAAAACAAAAACAAAAGGTGAAATTTATTTAATTTAACATTTCTAATTTCTTAATAACTAGAAGGTGTCTAAATAAATAATGATAATTATAAATGTATGATATTATAAGGTTTAAAAAAAAGATTATGTATTAGTAAAAAAATTATTTTAGTCAAAATGTAATTGTTGATATTTGTAATAATTTTGATTTATAATTACATTGTTTACAAGAAAATCAATTTTTTATAAATTATTCTAATGTATTGAAAAAGAGGTGATAAACGTATTATGTTGACAGTTGAATATGTCATTAACCTCATACAACCAGTTAATAAACCACATTCCAAGAAACCAGCTGACCACTAGACATACTAATGTTTGTAATTTATTAATTTTATATAGGTACCATGTGTATAGACTAATACTTTATTTTATTTTATATTCATTTCTTGTTTGTAGGTCATAAAAAGTCAAGGTTAAATTTTATGTGTAATAACTATTGGATCCTACTATTTTATAATCCAGTACATGTTCCTATTTTTAGAGTGTTATATAGAAAAATTTATGATACATCTCTATAAAAAGAATATAATTATTCTTTAGGTTTTTGTTTCTATATCTTCTTCTTCTCCTTTGCCTTTTTCCCAACTATTTAGAGTTGTTTTCTTTTAGGTTTATGTTTTTATATATAAAATAAAATATCTGACTCCAAATAAATGAAATTATTGTTTGACATACATTTAATTAAGTACTTTAAAATAAATATCATGTATTTTTTAATAATAAAATTAATAATAAAATAAGATTATTTTGATAACTTTCAATTTCTATTCATTTTTTTTGTTTGTTTAACAATTGTTATTGTATATAACAGGAATGGGTAACTGGCAGCATATTTTCAAATTACATCATACAATTTTAAAGTTTATCATCTATACTCTATCTTATTGATATAGTAATTGTTATTTGGTAAGGAATATCGATAAATGTCTTAATGTCATATGTATGTATACGTATAGCTTTCAACCATAGCTGTTTGTATCAAACTATTTAGCTATAACAGTTTCTTCATATCATTCGTGTTGTGCTGTTGTGTGTGTTAAATTTATTATTTTGGTATATATAAATGCTAATTAAAATTCATATTTTGAATAACCTTTTTTTATTTTCCTATGGTCTGGCCCGGTGGATTATAATTTTCTAAAAATTGGCACTCTAGTAATTTGGAGTTGCCTATCCCTGGTTTATAATATATTATGTTAATGTCTTGTAATTGTTATTAATAAATGCCAAATTGATATTATGATTTTGTGTATTACTAAAATGATAAATACATGTATTTATATATACATACATATATTAGTGTTACTAAAAAAGAAGTTTTGATTCTAATTGTTTTACATATAATTTGGTTTTAGAATATGTGTTATCATTTGATAAATAGGTAATTGTAATAATCAAACCTTTAAAAAAAAAGTAAAAAATTTCTAATTTTGGTATTCAGTTTTTATTTAAATGCACTAAAAATTATTTTTCTACTTACACAATATATGTTAAACATTTGTATTGAGTTGATAGATAAAATTCTCTGGTTAAAAATAACTATGTGTCTGTGTGTTATCATTATTAAATATTTATTACTTATGATAGGTTCCAAAAGTGAATTTTATAAAAACTCAATGCCAAACGAGTTCTACTATATTAGAAAATCATAATAGACTTCAAACTATGTGTAATAGACATGATAATCTAGCAAATAATTCAAAAACACAGGACCAAATTAATAAATTAAAATTGGAAGAAGAATTAAATTATTATAAAGTAAATACAATTTTTCAAAATAATTATTTTTGAATTAATATTTTTTCATTTTTAGTTGAAAAATAAAGAACTTGAGAAAAATCTCAAGCTTAAAGAGGAAGAAATTCGTAATTGGGAAATTCGATATCAACAGTTGAATCAATATTGTGAAATGTTTTTAAAAAGAAATGTATGTATATGAATATTTAATGTATTATAAGTTCAAAAACGAGTTTACTGTTACTTGAAAAATATATAAATATACTTGTTAGTATTTAGTTTCACTTAATTGTTTTTAAGAATTACAATTTCTTAACGCTCAATTTCTTCTCAGTAAAGGTATAAATTTAAATTTGTTAAAAGTAGGTAAATTGTTCTTTAAATATTCTTTTTACATATGGCTATACATAATAGGCAATAAAATAATTGCTTATGTTTTATCTCAAGATTTCAACTTGTATTTAGAGAATTTTTTTTTCCTATGCATTTTTGAATCAATAACTTGTTTTATTTGATGTAGATTTTATAGAATTGCTGCAGTGTCACACACTGAATAATGGTGGACGGGGTGGGGGGTAATGGAAAGCCAAGTTAGTTTTTTCGTGAAAATGATTTAAACATTTTAATGAATGAAAAAGTATGTGGATTATAATATCAAATATATTATTAACTATCTTTTGACAAATATATCAATTATTTAAGTTTTAACCATTAGTATTTCTGAATAGAGTTGTACAAAATACCGCTATCTAAAAAAATATTATCTTATTTTCCCTTAAGGAAGTCCAGCATGAGCTATTGAACAGGGATAGCTATCTTTGACTTGTATGATACATTTATGTATTCTTTTGTTTTTTTCAAAATTCAACATTTATATAAATAATTAAAACAAATGTTTATTAATTTTTTATTTTTTTTATTCATATTTTAAAATAATGACCAATTAAAGTACAATGGTTAAATTAGAACTATTGTTATTTAAAAGATAATAAAAAAGGGTTATTGAAATTATAATACTTGGATAAGATAAATTTTCAAATATAATGCTTCAATCAGAAATTAATTGAGAATAATTTTTTGGATACTAAACATTTTACATTTTTTTGGTTACAGTTTTAGGTCTTTACTGACTTCTAGTTGGTTAGCCACTCCTGATATAGAATATTACTATAGTATCATTCTACATTGTTTAATACTATGTGATATTAAATATTTTGTATTTTTTTTTCTTTTAAATAAAATAGTTCTAGTAAAGTTAAATAAAGTCAATAAAATGCTTAAATTGTTGATTTATTTTATACTTACTATTACTATTTTGGTTATATTTTTTATTTCATAAATTATTATTAATAAAAAAAAATTTTTTGTATGATTTAGATTGAAGATACCTTAAATAGTTATGGCTATCAATTAAATGAATTAATTGATCGTAATATGACTAGAGAATCAGAATTGCGTAATATTATAAGTAATCTCCTAGAAGAAATTGAGCAGTCACATTTACATTACAGATTAAAACTGTCAGAAAAAAATGAACAGATACGCAAATATCTTGATTACATACAAAGAATACTTAATAGTGTTTATGAATTTAGAAATAAAAATATAAAAAGATAATATAAATAACATAATTAAAGTGTACTGGCTATACAATCGTTTCATTAAATTCGACTGTTTATACAAAACTATAAATAGTATACACTCAAAAATATAATTATAACAAAAATTAAATTGTTATTAAATTATGATTATATATTGGACATAGATATATGAAATGCTTAATTTTAAATTCGTGTATTATCATATTTTTATCAAAGTCCAATAAATAATTTTTATTAGTTTTCAAATTTTAACCATTTTATAATAAAAAGTAAACATAATAAATATACCTCTTAAATTTGATTCCACATTCTTAGTATGTATTTTAGAGTTATACTGAGAAAAAGTAATAATTTACTTTCAGATATTATTGTTCTTAAAACCAGTAAAACACTGTTACAAATAAAAAAAACATTTATTTAAAAAAGAACAAACTACATTTGTTTATTTGAAATCCCATATAATATCAGTGGATATAAAGCTATATTAAGTTGAGTTAATTACAATAAACAATAAATTACTGATGATTGTCATCTTAAAAATCTAATTTGAAAATGTTTCAAAATAACTGATGATCAGTAAGTATAATAAACCAGCTATATTGATGTATAACAAATGTAAACATTTTTTTTTTTTGTTTTATAGCATATGTTTGAACACAGTTGATGAAGATTGTACATGGATTAATACTACAATGAAATTAATATTTATGTATATATTATTTTTAATATAATATTATTACATTGTTATGTATGTTTGTATATTTATATTTTTTGTAAAATATATTTATTTTACTATCCTTAAATTCTTATGATATCAATATTTAACTGATTTTCATCTTATAAACTTATATATTACTACATTTTTTATAAAATTCTTGTTTAAGATTTTAGTGCATACTCTGTATTTGTATAGCATTTTAGTGTACATAACATTATACGTTAAACCAGAGGTTCTCAACATTTTTTTCTTTGAGTCATGGTACTTACGTAAGGGGATTTTTTAAATAGTGTAAATAATAAATAAATAATTAGAGTGAATATTTTTAATTATATTTCCTAACTTAGATTGTCTATTGATATGTATAACCAAACATATTACATTCAAAATTAGTTTTCAATGATATTAGTTTTATTACCATTTATTAGTTAATATAAATCATAGACCTTATAAGCTCTATGATATAAATATAAGTATATAAATAGTGCATTGCAGTTTAACTCAAAACAAACATTCTGTATGAAAAATATTTATGATTATTTTATATTTTATAAAATTTCATAAATCACTCAATTCAAAAACACTATACTCTGGTTGAGAATCTCGCGTTAAACAATTATTTTTCTAGTACAAATGAGAAATTAAATCTATAATAATTTAACATTCTGTGTTCTAAAAAATAAAAAAATCTTATGTTCTTATAGGTACTTAAGTTTTTTTTTCTAAATTTTATTTTATTATGTTCTTATAGGTACTTAATAAAATAAAATTTAGAAAAATGAAGTAAGATGGAAACTAAAATAAATAAGAACTAAATTATATTAATGATGAATATATCTTAATAAAATATTGCAAATATTATCTAATATGTAAAACAATCAAAATCGATAAATATTTATTTTCTACAGAAATTACATGTAATATGAATAAATCTTTTTTTTTTTTTACAATTATACTATACTGTATATTGTGTGCTAAAACTGCTAAAATTATATGAACATGATTTATCATGTGCAAAACTCATAGCTGAATCTGATATCTCTGAATAAATAATCAACCAACGTGGATAGATGTTATACATTTTTTACTAATATTAGTTATTTAAAATTGATTAAGTTCTAAAACATAAATATTATCAATGGAGTATTTTAAAAAATTTTGTTTTATACTTGAAAAAAATGAATTTCGGAAAGTGTTTGGTGGTGAGAATGGGGTAAGGTTAAGTTAACTACATATTTCAGAAGGTTTCACGAGCCCCAAACCTTTTCTCTAATTGAGCCACTGATTGAAGCAATTTGTAAACATAGGTACAATTTTAAATTTATTAACTGGGGAGGAGGCTTGAAAAACGTATACCAAACATACCCATGGTATTTTCCCCCACACCCCCTCAAATAATATTACTTGCATCATCATACAATATATTTATGTTATAAAATATAACATTTTGAAATGTAATGTCTTAGATTTTTGAGGGGGCTACGACTAAATATGAGGGGGCTAAGCCCTCCTAAATTTTGCCTATGTATTTGAATTAAAATTGATTGTGTCTCGTAAATAATACATGGACACAAATATACTCCGTATTTACTTAATTCATAGCTAGGTAGGTATACCATATTATAATTTTCTATAAAATTAATATTATGGCAAATTAAACTATTTATTTTTCATGAAAAACAATAAAAACACAATGTTCAGTGGAGAAAAATGTTATCATATATTATTATATTTCTTTAATATAGTTGTATATTTATTATGATACTTGTATCAACTAACATGTTTTTATGATGTGATCATTTAGTAGTGCTCTTATTGTGCATTCCAAAATAGTAAAGTCCAAGCACCCCGATAGTCGACTGGACAAAACTGGAGAATGGCCTGAAAACGAAAATATTTTCCATATTTTATAAATTATATAAATACAACAATATTATGCAAAATCAGATAAAATTTACCAAGAAGTCGATGCATATTTGTCTTTAACATCAACCATATTACTCTGCAGAAAAACAATTTAATACTTTATAAATTAATAACATAAGTAAGTAAACGTTATTTAATGTTATGTAATTAAAAATACTTGTCTGATATCCATTGCTCTTCTTCCCGTGTCCATAACGTCCCTGCCAACTTGCCGTTCGTGTCTACTGTCCCTCACTTCGTGTCTAAAAGTTCTTTGATCGTAGCGATTTTCCAAAAACCGTCTGTCGCTTCGTTCTAAAACCCTTCGGTCAGCGTCTCTCACGTCACCCACGTCTCTTTCCCTTACACCTCGAAAGCGTTCGCGACTTATGTCGGGCAGCGATTCCGATCTTGTCAACCTTACCCTTCTGGCTTCGTCAGCTCTGAACAGGAATCTACGTTCTTCTTCTTTTCCATCCACTCTTAGTACCCTCATGTTCTGGGATCTGTGTTCTTCTTTCTCATTTAACCTTATTACCCTTCTCTTTTCGAATCTACGTTCTTCTTCTTTCCCGCCCACCCTTAATACACTCCTGCTCTCGAATCTCGTTTTCAAATTGTTGGTCTGATATGCGTCTCTAGTATAGTAGTTGTTGTTGTTACTATTCGTAGGGCTGAACTTGCATTGGTCCGAATCGTTTGAAATTGTCACCAGTCCTTCCGACGTTTTTCGATAACTATTTCTGTAAAAGCAATACGATTTCAACATCATTTTATATTTGAACAATTTATTTCTATAAAACTACTTGAATAATTTTTTAATTATGTAATTTTGTTTTAAATAGATAACATTCCTATAATTTTATAATAATTTTTTTAAACATGTTAACTAATAAAATATTATTTTATATTTTAATCGTTTAAACCAACGATTCTTAACCTGTGGTGCGCGATACTCATGTCGGGGGTCCGCGACAGCCTTAACACATAACATATGTCAATAATGACATGAGTGCATTATTACAATATTTTTGGATTATTATATTTTTTGTATAATATAGTTCAGGGAATGGCAACTAGAGGGCCAATTTTTAGAAAATTTAAATGTAACGGGTCAGAGCATAGAAAAAAAAAGAACATCCAAAATATGAATTTAATTAGTATTTATTTATACGGAAATAATAAATTCAACACACACGATAGCATAATCCGAATGGTACGAAGAAACTGATATAGTTAAATAGTAGCCCCGCGGGCCGCCAGTTGCTCACCCCTGATATATTTTATTGTTTAAGATAGACCTATTTTACCTTTATTAATCGGATGACGAGTTATAATGGATACAATAAAATATTTACGGTGTTAAATACTATAATAATTTATTATTAATATTTTTTTATCAGTTTTTCTTATTCATATGATATGCCCAGACCTACAGCACTTTAGTTGGCAGTTGTAGATTTACTACCACTAAGAGTAGTTAATCGACCATTCTCATTTATAGTTTTATACCTACTTAATTTAGATACGCTTAATAGGTGATATTTTTCCGAATCATCTTAAAGATATTTAAATTAAAATGGACCATTAGCTACTTTTAAAAAGGAAGAATTCTGGCATTGATGATGAAAACATTCCGTGTATGAAAAAATAAAAGTTAACAAAACTTCGTTAATATGAAAAATAAATACTTATTTATCAATGGATTTCACGTGCGATGGATCTGAAGAAGAACCAAAACTTCAATGTACCTATTATAAAACATGTCAAGGTATTAGCAAACGATGCTTTAAAATGATCAAAACTAAAAAGACACCTTGAAAATATCTAAGTATAAAAAACATATCACGAAATATATTAATTTTTTTAAAAATAAAGTGTAAGAATTAAGAAAAAATATGAAATTTATCAAAAAAAACTGCAACTGATTGTACAAATGAAAATAATAATGAAGTTTAAATTAAATGAAAAATTAATTCTAATAAGAATAAATATAAATGTATATGTTTCGTTATTTCTATATGTAATTTTCAATATAAAATAATTCTTATAATTATGGTTATGATAGTATAAGATGTTTAGTAAAAAAAGTACTCGAAAAAATTAGTAAAGGGATCCACGATTTCTAAGAATCTTTTATCAGGGGATCTACAAAGGGTTAAGAACCGTTAGTTTAAACGATACATTCTTAAAAACTTTTTCCTTGAAATTACTTGAATATTTTCATTTCGAATGGGTCGCTTAAATCATATGTATTTGTACTTCATTATTACAGAATATATATTATAACCAAACAACGATGCGGACCAAAATCATAAATTTTTCTTATGTTTAATACCTACTTACTAAATCGAAGGTATATCAAATCCCGTGGAATTATTTGTTGGTCTATTTTCTAAATATTGTCTGGCTGAAATTTATCTATTAAAAAAACAGCAACCCGGTTTAATATTAATTTCTATACGAATTGGTAATTATAAATTATTTATCTATAAGTAATAAAGAAGCGTACTAAAATTTGTAATATGGTATTTTATTTAATAGCTATTGTTTTGTGGTTATAATGTTATAAGCAGTATATGTACAATGGTAAGCCACTCTCGATTTGTTAAGTCGGAGGCGTTATTTCGGGTGGGGAGGCAGATTACGTTGAAATCCCTACTCCAATAAAATTTAAATACTAAGTCGAAAACTCTTGGTTTAAGTCCGTTGTCGACGTTACAGAAAAAAAAGTATCATTTTGAAAAATACTGGTTCGAAACCTGTTTTGCGTACACAATAATGCCACTGCTTTTGCAACTGCATATGGCTACAGAAACTATTTCATGTCGTTATAATTTTATCTCAGATCACTATATAAAATAAGAAAATCTATTTTCTAGTTCACTCCTATTTAGGGGAGATAATAGACAAGGTTTTACTAGAAAATTTTTATAAGAATTATGAGCATAATATTTTGGTGAAAAATCAAAGTATTTAATATTTAGTTATTTAATGGACTGCACAATTAGTAATTAAGGTACACATTATTTTAGGTTATGAATATGGGTTACGAGTATGAAATGTATTTACGTACAATAGGTACGTATTACCTATTACGAGATTGACTTGAAAATTATATTGGTCTTTAAAAACACACATTTTAAGAATCAATGTAATTTTAAAGTCCATCGTGTAATATATGTTCAACAAATAATATCAGGAAAATACCCTACCTCATCCTATATCCTATTGTGATTATGAGAACATTTACTTCAATTATAATCAGCTAGATACTTGTAAAAATAAAAAAAATTATTAAAGAATATACTGTGTATTTTTAATGTGAACTTTAACCACCATAACCAGACAACCAGAAACCCGTGATGTCGAATGACCCAGTCATAAAAATGTTTCTTATCCAACATTACACTTAAAGGATAAGACAAATTTGCAACCTACTCATATATAATATAACGTTAACGCTAAGGGCGTTAAATACTATAATGTACTCTTGAAGTAATTTTTTTGTTCAGTTACGTAATATTTATGATCGGAAATTTAACCGTCTGCAATTTTATCGCATTAATAAAATTATCGGCTTTGTGCACATTTTTAGTAGTTGAAATATTTAACGAATTCAAAAAGATTTTAAATATTATATTTATTCAGATATATCATGTAGCAGAGCCGTACCGAGCCATTTTTTATCCCGAGGCCGAATTGAAGCAATGTGCCCCCCAGGTTGTAGGGTTTTCACACTCACAGCTTTTAATATGTACAATAAGATTCGGAAAAATCTGAAAAATTGTAATTAGGTTTCTAGCAAAACATTTCTTAAAATAAGTTAATTGTTTAATATTTTTGCGCCCCCAAGCTTCAGGCTCTCAAGGCAAGTGCCTCGCTCGCCTCACCCTAGTTACGGCTCTGTCATGTAGTATACATGTATTCAGTAATTTGTTTTTTAAATTATTTGTAATCCGAGGAAGATATAAAAATATTAACCTGCAGCTCTTGCAAGGATCTATGCAAAGATAAATTATAATAAATTAAAATACTTCTAAATTAATTTTAGTTTTTTGTTCTAATTCCAAAAAAGCTAAAATTAACCGTATAGTATTTACGTCAAAGTGGCGCGGAGAACTTAAAATTACAGAGCATTAACGCAAACATTTTCTGGCGGAATGATGAGCTTATGTGTACCAAATTATCAACGATCATGGGTGTGGTAAATATTTAATAAACTGTTATTATCACGAATGTTGTTTTCTGAACCAGAAAGATGTACTACAACGAAAGCGGAAGGGAAGCCAGAGTGCTACGTAGAGACATGTGTGTCTGAGAAAACCAATCGCAAAGTAACCAGGTGAAGTTGCGTTACTTGAACGACGACCAGAAAACATAAACCGTTAACGAAAATGTATTTTCTATTAGAGACACAAGAAAAAAAACCCGTATGCACAAGAGCGTACAGTGCACAATGCGACAATAATATACGACCGCTATTGTACGGGTATTCTACCTTACTCGGATACTAATCTTTTAACGTTTTGTTACAGTTTTATCTACTAGAAGCGTTAGCTTGCAAACAGTGCAGAATTACCAATACATTAATCGAGAACTCGACGCGGTCTGCAGCGGAAGGATAATCCGACGGGTGCCCACCACTGTCCGCAAGACGGATACCCGCATACGTTTATGTAACAACGTAACGATTGTGATACTTACAAATTGTTGACCGCCGGAATCGCGGTGCGCACGTTTGCATCGGAGTGCGTGGGGGCCAAGAACAACACAACGCCGACCGCGATCGATAAAATCCTGAAAAAAAATAAATATATTACAACAATGTACATACGAATATCGTATTATACTTCTGACACGGGTTGCAAGTGTTTAAGTACGTTGCGTGTAGAAAACCGACACCCGAGCACGAAAACGGTGAGAGTCAACTACGACGCAGCGAACTGGTCTAGTACTTGTAATAATCGGAGGAGGTTATCCGACGATCGAAGGGACCGGTAGCGTTATTCTTTCGAGGTGGGCAACCGCTCTCGCGTTACGTTGACAACAAGTGCCGCGCGTAGCGGCGTGGTCGGTTATGTCCGGTTGTACGAGGATTCGATGACCAGCGTTCGAACCGGAAAAATAAGACCAAGTGACGTTGTTGGAAAAAACTTATCCGGCACGTTCGTGTTGTCCCGAAAAAGAGAACGAAAAAAAACGTAGGACCAACGGGAACGTGAACAATCGGTTTTGAAAAAGAAAAACGCAATCCTTTCGGCCGGCAGTCCTAGGAGATTCATCCCGATGGTCGAGGGATCGTCAAAAGGGGACACTATTTTCCCGGGGGGGGGGGGGGGGGGGGGGGGGGCTGAAAACGCTCACGGTCGTGTAACGTCACCGCGGCCTAACCCGTTCGGGTGCCGGTCCCGGGCCAACACTTACGTGCTGTTCATCTTGCGATGGTCTCCTGCAGGTGTGCGCCCGTGTGCGCGAGTGGTCCGGAAATGTCGGCTCGCGTGGCCCGGCCCGAACGTTTTATAGGCGCGCGGCCGAGAAGATCGTCCGGTCCGATGAACGGGGGGCGCCCTTCCGGCCCGGTGGTCCGTCTCTAATGACGCGGCCCGAACGCGACGGACGCGCGTGCACCACTCTCGTCCCACCACCCACACACCGGTGCCGACCGTTATCTGAACGGAACACGCCTGAGCACGGACCGTTTACCGTTTTTCCGCGTCGTTGCGCGCCCGCGTAAACTGGTGGTATCGTTCGCGCGCGCGTCTATTACGTTTCGAGTGCGCTCGAACGGAGACGCGATTGATCGTTTTTTTCGCGCGCTCACGACGACGCTAACGACGATAACGGCGGGATTGGATGCGACGAGAAAAATGAATCGGATGGAAAAATTAAAAAAATAAAACGATCAACGAGTACGCCCGATCGAACCGCCTACAAAATTGGAGGGTTACGAAAAAACATAAGATAATAATCAAAAAAAAAATGATCGTCGACAGAACCGAACTAATCGTTTCGCATATTACCTGGCAAATGTTTTCTTTAGGACGGTTGGGCGTCGATTTAATTTTTTGAACAGGCAGTTTCCATCTCATTCGACTCTGTGTTATTGCGATGAGTGCAACAGTGCGATAGTGATGCTATGGGCGTAATGCGTATGCGTGTACAGAATGTCGGAGCGAAAACGACCGTATTTGAGATAAATATAGCTTTGAGAGACGATATGCCTGAGTATGTTTTAAGCAATTTTCACTGGGTGGCACTTTAATACAAATATTGTCTACCACAGGAACGTAGAGTAAAAGTCAACATAATTAGTGTATATAAATTGCATTAGATTCATTTTTTTATTAGAAGAGTCGGGTAAACGTAAGAAAATTAAAAAAAATATATGTATAATGTTAATACGAGTATGTTAACTAATTAGTTTCAATAATAATACGATTCAGATGGTCTAAGTTAATGAAGGGGGGAAGGGAGGAGAAAATTAAATACATTTAGTTTCTCGTCCCTCAATTTTTTTTAATTTCTATAAAAAAGTTATTAATGTTGAATTTGGTGAAGATTTATCACCCTTTTTCCATGCCACATATGGGTTGAATATTGTCAAATAATGTAGTTCTAGGTTTTTTTTTATTTAATTCAAAATATATTACATAAAATATATAAAATTGCATATAAAATAAATTTTAGATCAAAATACTATCTATAAAAATCATATTATAACATTTCTGATTAATATAAAACAAAAATTATCTAAAAAATCGATAATTTCAAGGTTTTTATTTATCTTAAAAACGTAAATTACATCTTTAAGATCTTTATACTCGTATGTTAGGGTTACCAGATTATATTTTTCCGAACCCGGGACTTTTTGAATGGATAAATATTATACATATATATTATATATATATATCGCCATATGAAAAAAAAATATATATACATATATATATTTTAAATTAATTATGTATAGAAGCAATATAATAATAATAATCATAATAATTCATATTCTTAGTTTTCGGATCTTTTGGGGTGCAGTGTTTCTTCTGTTGATTTTACTACATATTTGACTGATCCATAAACTTGTTTTAATAAAGACTTGTTTCCCAAACTTTGGTCGTGGAATTTTTCATAAAATGTATTATTGAAGCACGTTTTTATAATATACCGTTTATATATCTAGTTATTATCTTGAATTTGTCCATGTACTGTTCATCAGTGCATTTGAACCCGACAAAACAAAATAAAACAAAACAAAACAACTTTTAATAGCTCAGAAAATGCATAGTTGTTATCAGTGAATATTTTGAAAATATATACCCATTTATTTTCTATTTTTTAACAATACCACTCATTTTGTTGATAAATTTTTTCAAAAATTTTGAATTGTTCGAAAAACATTTATTTATCAAAATTAAGATTGTTTGACATTATAGCTTTTATAAAGATTACTGATTTTTGACATTTTCCCAATTTACTATTGTCTTTGGGGCTAATGTTGTCCATAACATTGATTTTAAATTAGTTACATGTTAATTTGAATTGTTCCATTTTTTTTAAATAGTTATAACAAAGTACATAAAATTCATCACATTAACTTTCAAAATTAGCTCTATTGATAATTCCCTCGTCCTCAAGTTTTGTTATGAGATATTCAATTTCCTCCGTGAGAAACAGATCATTTCTTTTGTTTTCAATTTTCTTGATATTTTATCGAGTAAAATGTTGAAACAGAGACAAATCGCTGTGTCCTGAAACACTTTCTTGGGGCACCGGGACACTTGGTTAAAAACCGGTAATGTCCCGGTAAAACCGGGACGTATGGCAACCCTATCGTATGTTTAATTTTGTTTTGGATATTTTTTCACCATTTTGAGATATATGTATTTTAATAGTTAAATTTTACGTTGAAGCATGATTTACATGTCCTGTGCAATTGAAGCACCTTATAATGTCTTTATATTTTAAAAAAATTAATCGAACACCCATATAAAGCTACTTTTAAAACAGCTATAAATAAATGTTGTGGTAATTTATGGCATTTTGCGTTCAGAAATATTGCATTATCATTTTTTGATTTTCGTGTGGCAAACGAAATTAAAATTATATTGGTTGAAGCACATAAATCATCAAAGAACATCGATGATATAATTCATAAAAAATTGTTTTGAGTATAGAAGATATAAAAACATTTCTAAAAAGAAAATTACATGAATTTATATTACTAGAAACAGTAAAATTTTTTCGAGATTTTAAATTTCAACCCAAATAGTTGGAAAGAAAGAGAAGACTATCAAAATGGAATTAATATTTTAACAATGTTGTCAATTATAAATGAGATTGCAGAAAGAGAGGTTAAGTTAATACAAAAGTATAATAGCATACTGACGAACAAGGCCGTAACTGGGGGGTCCAGGAATCCGGACCCCCCGAAATTTTTAAAAGTAGAAACATTTTAGCGGTGAATATAGTTTATTAACTATAAATTGTATTAAATAATAATGTTGGTCCCTCCGAAATTTTTTTCTAGTTACGGCCTTGCTGACGAAAGACCAAAACCAAAAACATAATTTATAGAACTTTTATTATAATGTAATATGAATCTATTTTTTATATTTAATTATTCCATAGAAACATTGTTTTTTTTCAATCATATTAATATTCAATATAAATGAATTGATATTTTTTAATATTAAATTAATATTTTATATACTTAAATATTTATAGATTTCTTTATGTAAAACACTTGTAATACCAGCTTTAGGGTATAAGTTATAGACAATTTTATTTTATTTAAGAAAACATTCCTTCTGATCCAGGATCGCTTCACTTTGCCGCGGTATGACGTTTGCTCGTGACTTGGTTAAGAACATTCCTGTTAAGTGTCAAGTCAGCACCGAAGATATTGCGTTGCGATTTTTCCATTATGCTTGTCGATATCCAAGAACGGATTATAGTCAAAATGTGAGTGGGACTATAACTTCTAGTGAGGCTCTTTTACAAAAAACAGGTCGCCGATAAGTGAGACACGAAATGTAATTACCCTGACTTACGGTTGTGTATACGGGTTCAGCACGATACTTACTGAACGGATACAGGGAAATTACGTACAAACGGAAACTTAGTGGAACGCAAAACATGTTCGCGAAATGATCATCTTTTCGTGAAACGGTCATTGCAAATTTGACGATGAGTAATTTTTGCATTTCGTGTATCATAAAATAACTACATTTTATAGTAATTAATTTTTTTTTTTTTTTGGTCAACTTGTCTTTCGAGTTTTATCAACGTCCATTAAATAACGCTAATATGAAACGTCTAAAGAATTATGAATTTTGAAGATTTTTTGTCTTCGATGCAACGTCTTATCAGTACTTTTGTGACACCTTGATATTAGGTACTCAGATATTCATAGCTGCTGTATGGATCACATCCCGTTGTACAATCGCACGTTTTAATTCACTTTAAACATACATGAATTCATAGGCGTGCGCACGATGGTGGCCGGGTGGGCCGCGGCCCCCCCTGCGGACTCTGGCTTTTTCTTTAATAAATTTATATCTATACTATACAAGACAGCGAACATTTTTACATTTTACATGAATAAAGTAAAGCCAGTTTTAATCTTATAGTATAGAATTGATATCTGTGAATAAATGTAATAAAGTTATTAGTTATTAATCAGACTAATCAGAACTTGCGTATAATATAAAAATTTAAGATGTAATTGATACATTCAAAAACCTTACTCTCGTGGATAGAAGGATGGAGTTGTAAATAGTATAATAATATGCAGGGCTCGGAAGTTGTAGCACTAAAAATATTACTTTTTAGCTCTTAAATATGCACTTAAAAACGCTAAAATATGCGCTATAAATAACACAAAAAATCAAAAAAATATGCATTTAATATGAAAAAAATTTAATTTTACAAATTGTTAGGCTCATAAGACACAGTCTGGACTGATTAAATTATAGAATGTTACCAAAAATGTTAAATTACTTAAATATATTTGTAAAAATGTACTTATTATCAAATTTATATATTTATCTTGATAATTATCCTAGATTATTAAAATGTTTGATAATCTAATGCAATGATATAATAAGGGAATAACAATGACGTCACTAACTATTGATACAGCAAATTATCAATAATAAACATAAAATAATATTTGATGAAGTTATTTATTTCCTATAATTAAAATATTTTAAAAAACATAACCAAGTAAATACAATTATGATCAACAAAATTTGATTATTTCCTACATTATGTGAAAATATACCAGAAAATAGCAATATAAACCCTAAATTAGCAAAATAGCAATAAAACCCGTAAATATGCAAAAAATAGCAAAATTAAATTTTGTGTATGATATCCGAGCAGTGAGAAACATATTTGTTTCTTACTTTGGATGTTCTAGGATGAACCAAGAAAAATATGCATTTGCTAGGTAATTGTATAGACGAATGACATTACCTATTTGATAGTCGTTGAGTTAAAAGCCGACAGATAAGTTGACTAGATATTAAAAATAGTTCAATTTCCGGCATGGTATACAAAGTAAAAAAATATACCATGTCGAATCGAAGTGACCGTTTATGAAAAAGAGAGCATTTCGTGAAACATTTTCGCACTTGCACGAAAAAGGAAATCAAGATACCTATAATTAGGAGAACAAATTCAGTGATAATGGAATCACCTGATAAATTTCAAAAGAACATAATATACAGTTTAAAATTGCAATTGAAATTAACTAAAATAGATCATTCACTGAAATAATTTATAACGGCCGCGATCAAACGCTGCGGGAAGGTTAACACAATAACAAAAACAGTAACGGAATGATAAAAATAAAGAAAATTTTTTTAAAATATTTGTAAAATTATGGAACGATAGGTATAGAAATTCGTAAACGAATTATAAAAAGGAAATGTGTACAGTTTACAATATAAAACGTTTGGCACTGACATCCAACTGCACTCTAAAAAATAAATATATTTTATTATAATACTGAATTAATAAAATTCTTGTTCAATAATTAGACCGTTGTCGAGTTCATAATGAATAATATTATCATAATTTATAGTTGAAATATTCTATCAGGTAGAAAACTCGACTGAAAAGCAGTTTTCGTAGAGCGCTCAGAAGAAATTACAAATTGTTCACTTACCCATCATCTGTTATTTCAAAATCAGGAGATTCGAGATCGAGACCAAATACTCCTCTTCGAAGCCGATCTAGTTCGATATATATTTGTTTTTGTGTTTAAATTTTAAATGGTTCCATAGATTGGTTGTATTTGAACCAGAGTTGACATAATGCTTAAAACAAATTTTACAAATAACTTTATTGCCATTTTCGTGTTTAGTGAAAACTTGACACACTTCACTAATTTTGATTCTTGACACAAATGTTTAAATTAAAATTAGAAAAAAATAACAATTAGATTTCTAAACTATTGCTGTAAGTACTTATCTTTTTTAACTATAAAATAATGTCGTCACTCGTTAATTGTCTTTTACTCATTAACCAGTCGATTGATGTATTATTAAATATGTTTGCAGGACGCAGATCACAAATCAAATGTGTGTCCCAGTGTTCGTTTACTCCGTTAAATTTAAAATTTGTGAAAAGTATAACAACATATTTATAAATATGATGTTGTACCTATCAATAATAATTCTATCAAATTTTAAAAATAGAACTCTAAATAGAACTAAAAATAAACTCGTTTAAGTTTATATTATTTTAGTAATGGTAAAAGGGATTTTAAGTTATAAATATAAATATTTGAATAACAAAACCATGACCACTACAATGAAAACATTTTATATTTATGTTATATTCCTAAAATATTTTTCAATTAAATTATGTATAAAATATAATCTCAAATATAATTAATTTTCGATTATTTTGTTTTTCAATTATTATTTATGTCAATTAATAATTGTTTTCATCAATCGAAAATAATCATATCATCTCGATTATATAATCGATTAATCGAGAATTATCGAATTGCGGTTATATCAATTATTTATAAAATATGGAAAATAATAGATTAATCGATTAAAATTATCGATTAAATAAAATAACCGAGCAGCCCTACATTGGGAGTGAGATTTCACACATGTTCTACTTTGTATAATAACACTCACAAGTATTCATGTACACTCTTTAAATGTATTGTTAAAGACCTTTGATCGTTAATAATAAAAGCTTCCGAACAATTAAAAAAAAAAAAATTCAAAACACAATCCCTAGAAACATTTAATGTATTTAATTATTTTAAATTCTTAATTACTTAAAATGTTATACCTTTTTAGAGTCGAAAAACTGCGTTCAGCTGATGCTACAATGATGGGCAATGAACATATAATGGCAAAAATAATTTTAATAGGAAATACAATTTTTTCACATTCACATAGATTTCAAAACATTTTTATGTATATTTTTACCTTAAAGCACTTTACATAAAATTATCGCTAAAATGATTTTTAGTAAGCTATTTGCTCATTCATATTTTTAGTTTTTACACGGCCCAAAAGGGGGGCGATCCATCTACTTTATTTGGACATAGGTAAGAAAAATAAAATAAAGATCTTCGTGTAGGTATACATTAGACATTACTAATATTTTTTCTTTGATTTAGTTTATTACCTTCCATTGTGTGGTATTTTTGAAAATTTACTTACGTACTATTTATGTAAAAAAAAAAGTTCAATGGTGAACATTAAAACTCCTCATGTGTTGTAATTAGGTTGAACTCTTACTCCATGCCTCATCCGTTACTACTGTAATATAATGTGACGCGTTAAGTGTGCGTTTAATTTCAGTCCAATACTATGTGGTAACTGGTACATTGTTTTTCAAAGATGAAATATATTATTCTGTACCTGATTTACAAAAAATATCTATTTTTTTTATGTCTGCAAACTAGGTATATTAAACATTACCTCTTGAGGTGTTTCTAAACTCAAGCAAGTTAATATACCAAACTAAGTATGGGTTACTGAATAAAAATTTGTATACCAGCATGAATCGAATAATAGGTAACTAATGAATAAATCAAAAGTGATGGCACAACAAAAAATATACATGGTAATATATTTATCGCAAAAAAAAAAATCTATGAAAATTACATACATTTTGATGATAAAAATAAGCACATAATATATATACTATACAAGTTGGGAAAAAAATCGTAACATAACAAATTTAATGGCAAGAGCAAAAAAGAATACATGAAAATAATGTATAATTTTTAAGGTTTAGCAAAAAACAATGGTATAGTAAAATGTATTAGCTTAACATTTAGTTTTAATATAAAAGAAATCATACACATACATTTAAGGTGAGAAAAAAATATTGGAATAATATTAAATTGGAAAATGCCATAAAAGTAAAATTTCATAATTTTCTCAATCGCTAAGGAACTAGACACAATTATTTATCTATATAAATATAAAATAATTGTGTAAACAAAACATGTTTACTATAATAATGAAATTAATATAATTGTTTTTTTCCATTTATCTACACACTACAAATATAAAAGTCTCAAATTTGAATAAAACTATCAATAAGTCAAACAAAAGACACCATTTAATATATATTTTATAAATTGTATCACAATCAATTAATTGTAATCCATAAGTATAAGTGTGACAGTGTTTTAAATTTCATACGGATTTTTATAAGCCCAGTAAATACTAAAAATAAAACAAATCAACATGAATATGTAATTTTTGCATTATTTCAATACACAAATATTAACACAAAACATAATACATGTAACACGATAAACAAACATTTATTACACTAAAATTAATTATAAAATCAATTCATGAATGTTAAGCTAATAATTACCTCATAAAAAATTATATAAACAATTAATAGTAAAGCCGCGAGGATCTTTTATTTTATTTACTTTCAGAAAGGCAATTTGTTGAAAATACAACTCTAGCACTTGAAAATCAAATTCCTTTTTTAGTTTATTTAAAGATAATTTGATTAATGTGACATCATTTTAAAAACTAAACAACATTTATTTAAATATATGAATGCATTCCTCGTCTCAAATAACTATGAAGTTGTAAGTATGTTAATAAATAGTAAACACAGAATATAATAATTTAATTGCATGTGTATGTATTACATATTAAAATACATGTAATATATTAATAAGTTTAATAGACATATTTGTCTTGGAATGGTTAAAAGATATATCACTAGAAGTATAAAATCTACAAACATTAGACAATTTTTTTACGTATAGACAAATAAAAAGTACGGCATTAGTAACTATTATACACGTGTCTGTGCGTACGTACATTTTAACAATAATTGTTTTATATCACTATTAAAAATGGTTTGTTTTCTATATAATTATTTACAAATATTGTTAAAAATTTGTTTATATAAGAACAAATGTTCATAATCTCTGAATAATACATAAAACACACAATTAAATACAATTTATAATACATAAGAATAAAATAAATAAATAATAACACATTTAAATAAATTATAGTTTTGTACGATTTCCGTTTTTTTTTTTGCTTATACATATTTAAATGTACTGAAATTAAAAAACTTATATTGTTTTTTGGTTTAAAAATCATAAATATACAGAATTTATATATATATGATCACTGATTATTAATATTTATATTATAATCAATAATGCACTATATATTTTTTCCTGATAAGATTTATGCTAAAAATCTTTAATAATTACATTAAAAACACTTATAAAAACATTTAACAGTAGCAATGGAATTTGTGCAATGCTTTTAAAATAATTTTCTTTTATTAACTTATATGTTTCGCAAACTTATATTTCTATGAAGGATTATGATGGACAATTTCTATTTCATTCAATTTTATTTCATACAAATAATTTTGAAAATTCCTAGGATTCTAATTCAAAAGCCACCCTTAAAACATATATATTTTTTTAATGTTTATGTTTGTGTGTATAAAAAGATATGCCCTCTGTTTCCATAGTAAAAATTCACAAAAATAAAAAAAATTTAAATTTTATGAATAATAATGGCTTGTGTGCTTACAAAAATTAGGTTGCAATAAGAATAACTTAAATAGTAAAAACTTAAAAACTATTGGTGTATTTTAACATGAGCATCATAGTTATATTTGCGCATAAATATTTTCCCACATATGTCACAGCTATATGATGCTTTTTTAACATAATTATGTACTAACATGTGTAGGTCTAGGTTACTTTTACTTAAAAATGACTTGTTGCACAGTGAACACACAAATGGTTTATCTCCTGTATAAGATACATTCATCTCATGTGTTCTTTTGTGTACAATAAGATATGAATTTAATTTAAATGTTCGACCACAAACATCACACGAATGTAATGTTCCATTTTCATGTCCAGATACATGTTCCTTTAGCTTTGACTTGTTTGAAAACTTTTTAGTGCAAATATGACAAGTATAAGATATACGACGTCCAGCATTTTGTTTTTTATGAGCTGCTATGTGACTAACTATTTGAGTACGAAGTTTATACACTTTTCCACAAATTGCACACTCAAATTGTGAATCTGTACCACAATGTATAGCTATATGTTTTTCTAGCCGAGTAGCCTGTTCAAATGATTTATTACAAATTGCACAGCGATGTATTTTATGTTCAGTGTGCATGCGCATGTGTTGTTTCAATTGTAAATGTGTTTTAACCTTGTGAAGGCAAAGTTGACAAACAATCCAATCTGATTGGCCATTTGATTGAGGAATATCTTCATCACAATCAGGCAAGCTGGAATTAGTGCATTGGACTTTTGGATTCTCAGAACATGAAGAAGAACTAGAACTAGAACAAGAACTACTTGATTCACCATCAGAATCAGATGATGATGAAGAAGAACCGGAATTATTTAATTCATCAGCAGGAGGACTTTCTGCAGTCACATCGCCCATCATAACACTGAAAAAAATGTTTAAATTGTTACTATATATGCTATATACATGTACAAAAAATAAAATATAAATCAAATTATTAAATATGTTTCAGTTAACTCCAAACTACATAGAAATATATATTTATTACTTTATATTTAAGAGCAAAAATATAGAAACTAACTATTAAGTTATTTTTTACAGTAAAACTTAGCTACAGAAATATACAAATTTAATTATATGTATCTAAAAAAAATAGTAAGGAATATTTATATTACTATATTGTAATAATATCTATACATGGCGCTCAGTTTCTTATAAAATATATCTTAATAACAAATTAAAACATTGTGTGTTTGTATTTTGTATACGGAAGTACAACATTTTAACATTTAAAAATTCTTGTTAATAAACACTGTTGTTTAGTAAAATAAATAAATTAGTATACATACCTATTTGATCTAAAAGATCCAAAACTACCATTTAACGAAGACTTCAAATTTTTAGCAGCCGTTTTGGATTTAATTTTGTATTTGTCAGATTTTTGATCAATTTTTAAATAGTTTCATCATAAATAGCTGATTAAGTTCATGTACATCATTGTCATGATATACTATATTATTTAATTAATCTGAAATCAGGAAAAAAACAATTTCATACAAATATAAATAAAAATAAGTACTTAAAACCATAATTAAATGTAAATGAGAATTCATAATTAAATTATTTATTTAGCTTCTATCAAATAAAAGATAATGTTGATACTAAATAGTTAAATTTATAAAAATAAACAGTTTATATTATTGAAAAAAAAATGAAGCTTTCATTAAAGATCAGTGATTTCTAATTGTAACTAATACTAATAATTCATATAAATAATGAACTTAGTTGCCAGTGTTTTTGACCAATAAGGAAAACAAATTATTATTAATATTATTATTGTATCTATTCGAAATCATTTAAATTATAAGTAATATTTTATGAATTCGAAATAGTAAAATTAACTTATAACCATACATCGAATACTGTATTCGAAATCGTTCAAATTTTATTAGAACCAGAATTTGAAGAACAAGTACAACTTAAAGTTTTGCAAACAGTATAAAAATGATAAGAGATAAATGGGTATGGCTTTCAACTGGACGCAACATTCGTACAAGAATAGCAATAGATGTATATCCAACTACGGATTCACTTACCTGTACCAATCGAAAGTGTACGGTAACCGAATCGAGTTTAGGACTTGTAAAAATCATAAACCATCTATAGAATAAATAGAAAAAATATACAATACATCGTGGCAAGGGGGTAAACACATCACGACCGACGGTCAAACGAACAACAACAACAACAACAACAACAACAACAATAATAATAATAATAATAAAATACAACGGTAACTCGACGTAAAGTAGTCACCGAGCAAAACGTTACATACAATATACAATGTGTATACAATGCATGTACGGTTCAAGTGGAATATTTTTAATATTGTTGTCGCGATATGGACGAGCAGTCAAAGTTGGGAACGTACCTCATCCGTGCATCGCATGTTTTTCGATATTTATTTTATTTTTTTTCCCGTCCGTTCGGTTGATGGTCACGAGATAAACGTATTCATATCGATGCCCTTAACCGACGTGCGGAGGGACTGTTCGAACAGTGGTCGACGACGTCGCGGCCGGATACCCGCCGGGGACATTGGTCATGACGATCGGGTGCGAGTCGAACTTGCACAAACGACGATGATCGCGGCGACGAGGACACCAATAACGAGAACGATTACAATATTCTTAACAGGTAGCGACGTGAAACGAGACTACAACAAGAATATATTGTGTTATTGTTGTGTACAACACGAGCGGCTCGGGCTCGCGCGCGCACGTATGTGTGTGTTCGTGTACGTGCAGTGCGCGTGCGCGTAAGTCTTCGACCGGAACTCGTTACCAACTTCAGTGCCGTGTTGCCCACGCAGAGCCGAGTGCCGCCGCCTATCTCAGAACGGCTCCAGTCCGACGGAGGTTGAACGTCGTTCTTTCACTCCTCTCGCTCTTTCCCCGCGTACTCTCACCGACTGCCTGTTGACAACGTGCCCGTGATAAGTGCTCGTTCCGACCGTTTTCCGTTCGTTTGCATATGGACACGCAACAGCAGAGTGCAGCCAGTTTTTTGAGAGAACGATTCCTCGCTGTCATCGCAAAACTCGAAGGCAAGTACTATTCGGCCACCCGTCTTGAGGCAAAGCGAATTATTCTCAAACAATAAAATGTAAAATAAAAATTTAAAATCATTTAAATGGTCAACGCTCGTGAATTAATATATTTATAAATAAACGAACAAATAGTATAGAAAAATGTTAAAACAAATGTACCTATTCAAATAAATAAGTACCGCCACCGATTCAAATTTTGTTAACGTATTTTAAAAAATAACTATGATGTAGGCACTACATTTTTATGTATCGGTACAGACATTAGAAATATCTAAAATAACATTAATTCATTTTAGAAGAGTTCGTACATGTATGTAATGAAATAAAGTTATTTTAATAATATTTTTTATAAATAATATCTTAGATCAATTTACATTTTAGATAATAATAAATAATAATGACCAAGGTACTTAATATTTAATAAAAATATTATTAATGTCTAATAAGAACTAATTTTAAACGATCTTTCTTATTTAATTAATTATTACCAGAGTTCAGGACTTATAGCACTTAAAATCATTAAAATAAGCATTTAAAAATATTATAAACACTAAAATAAGCATTTAAAAAATTTAAAATCAAGCAAAAATATTTATTAAAAAAAAAAACTAAAATTCTAACTAAAATATCAAACAAAATAAAAATAAATCTTCACTTTCAAGACTAAGGGTTTTATGGATTTTCTAAGAGATTTTCTGAAAAATAAAATGTAAACTGTTCTCTCTGTTCTTGATCATTCTGACGTTTGACACTCAGTTCTATTTTCAGCGTTGGAATATCTTTGTTAACCCTACAACGATGTCTTGGACGTCAACAAACTACATGACAACGTAGATAAGAATTAATTTTAATTTTAATTCTATCAAAAAACGACTTTTCAGTTGAAAACTATAAAAATGTACAAAAACTGATTTAATAAGCAAATATAATCAGAAAAATTGGAAATAAGCATTTTTTTGAAAAATTGCTGAAATACCTAAGCAAAAAAAAAGCACTTTCAAATTTCATAATTGTATGTGTTATAACTTGAAATACACTTCTATAGAACTTTGTTACATTTTAAGTCAATCCATAAAAATAAGCAAATGCTTAGCTCCTGAGCCCTGATTATTACTATGTAAAATTACCAATTTTTTTCTGTTAATTCCTTCCTGTTTTTTTCATATTCAGTTGTAATTTTATTTACCTTGTTTATAGGTACCTGATGAAGAATTTTTAATTCGAAACTAGTCGTAATTTACAAATTTAATAATACTCCAGACTAATTATTTATTTTAGTTTTTTTACAATATCTACTGTGTTTCTGATAATTGACAGTGAGCATTAATCGATTAATCATGTTTACCACTCTAGATACCCGATTTTCATATCGGTTTAGAGTCATATTTTCATGCAATTTTATAAGTTTTCTAATAGCCAATCAGAATAAGGTCGTAGTCGGAAACAAACATGTGCATGATTAAATGATAAATTTATAATTCCACTTCTTTTGTAATAAATTAAATTTTTATGGTAGAATTAATAGAAATTATAACAAATTTCAATAATATATAGCTATTACTTTTCTAAGCAAGTTTATATATAAAAATAATATATTATAATTTAAATTAAAAAATTTAATATATATATATATATATATAAAAATTAAAAAATCTGATGATTTTTTCTACGATTAATTCTAAAACGTTGGTGTATAGACAATTTAGAAATTTGTTATTCAACTGTACTTTTATTAATTAATAATATAATAGCTACTTACATAGGGTTGTTTTTTAGATTTTGAACCAAAGTATAATAATAGTGTAAGGTATCTGATAAAAATTAGTTAAATTTTTTTTGAAAATTGTAATTTATTTCGTGTAATATTTTAATAAATTGTGTAACTTTGTAGGTAAACCGTTTACTGCAATATTATATGATAATTCCAAAGTGAAAGCTACATTTTTGTCAACAACTGGAGCATATAACCATATTGCTGTTGAAGATCTACACACTCCAATAGGAATTGTTTCTAGTGCTTTGATTAGAACTAAAGATATTCAAAGTCTTCAAGTAGAAATTGGTAATAAATATTATTATATTTTCAAAATCAGTTAAAATATATTTTTTTTTTTTTTTCAGAAATAGAAGATGTCTGATTTGGAATTGTTTGTATCTATAGGACTTTCTGAAGCTAAAGCTAAGGAAACATTAAAAAACAAAAATTTAACTACCAATTTGAAAAATGTCATTAGTGAATTTTTAATAACTAATCAACCATTGGCTAACTATGGAACCTTATTGTACCACTTAGCTTCCAAATTAAAAACCCAGGATTTTAAACATTTGGAATTAATTATTAAATATATATCAGAAAACAAATTAGATACTACTCAAAGAATCGATTGTAGTTTAGAGTTTTTACGTTCATCAATATCTGAAAGTATAGATTTATTAGCGTTGGAAAAATCATGTGGTGTTGGCATTATTGTTACTCCAGAAGAAATAAAAGAAGTTGTTCAATCCATTATAAATGAAAACAAAAATGAACTCTTGGAAAAAAGGTATAAATTTAATATTGGAAATCTTATGCAAGAAGTTAGAAAACAACTGACATGGGCTGATGGTAAAGCAATAAAAAATGAAGTTGACAAACAAATTTTGGGAATTTTAGGTGCTAAAACTGAAGGTGATTTAGCTCCTGTTCAAAAACAGAAAAAAGTAAAAGAAATCAAAGCAGTTGAAAAAAAAGTTCTTGTTTATACACCAATGTCCATTGAAGAAGTAATGACTAAAGTAGATTTCCATAAGCCAGGGGAAAATTTTAAAACTGATGGTTACGTTGTTACAAAAAATACAGAGATGTTATTAGCAAAGCATATTAAAGAAACTGGTGGTAAAATTATTACTAGATTCCCTCCAGAACCCAATGGAATTTTACACGTAGGTCATGCAAAGGCTATCAACATTAATTTTGGGTTCGCTAAAGCTTTTAATGGTGAATGTATTCTTAGGTATGGTTATATTGCTGATACAATTATCTTATTTTTTATCTTATACTCATTTTGTAATTATTTTTAGGTATGACGATACAAATCCTGAGAAAGAAGAAGAAAAGTTTTTTTCTGGCATCAAAGATATGGTAGAATGGTTAGGATATAAACCCTGTAGAATTACGCATTCATCAGATTACTTTGATCAGTTGTACATTTGGGCTATTTCCTTAACAAAAAAAGGTTTAGCCTATGTGTGTCATCAAAAACAGCAAGACATGCAAGGATTCAATCCACCACCATCTCCGTGGCGTAATCGTCCAATAGAAGAAAACTTATCATTACTGAATGATATGAAAAATGGAATATTTGATGAGGGCGAAGCTACATTAAGAATGAAAGTCACACTTGAAGAAGGAAAACAAGATCCAGTTGCTTATCGCATAAAATTTTTGCCTCACCATCGTACCAAAGACAAATGGTGTATATATCCTACCTATGATTATACACATTGCCTTTGTGATTCTATTGAAAATATCACTCATTCTCTATGCACTAAAGAGTTTCAGAATCGCAGATCTACATATTATTGGCTCTGCAATTCCCTAGATCTTTATTGTCCTGTACAATGGGAGTATGGTAGACTCAATATGAACTACACAGTGGTATCTAAACGAAAAATTGGCAAATTAATTGAAAACAAAATTGTTAGTGATTGGGATGATCCAAGACTATTTACTTTAACTGCACTGCGACGTAGAGGTTTTCCTGCAAAGTCTATTAATTCATTTTGTGCTCGTATGGGTGTAACTGGTGCTCAAGCTATAGTTGATCCTCAAATGTTGGAATCAGAAGTTCAAGATTATTTGAATCTTACAGCTTCCAGAACCATGGTAGCATTAGAGCCTTTAAAAATTATAATTACTAATTTTGAAAGCTTGAATAAGGAAAACTCGTTAAGTGTTCCTGATTTTCCTAGTGATCCAGATAGAGGCTGGCACGATATTGCGTTTTCATCAGTGTTGTACATTGAATCCAGTGATTTTAGCCTGAATGCAGATAAAGATTATCGTCGCCTAACAGTTGATCAACCAGTTGGTTTACGATATGCAGGAATTGTAATCAAAGTAGTTAAAGTAAAAACTGTTGGGACAACAATAGAAGAAATTCATGTTGAGGCAGCAGATGTCAAAACAGCACCAAAACCAAAAGCATTTATTCATTGGGTTTCAAATCCAATTGAGATAGAAGTAAGATTATATGACCGTTTATTTATGCATAAAAATCCAGAAGATGTCAATCAAGTGCCAGATGGTTATCTTAGTGATATCAATCCAAATTCATTAAGAATAGTCAATGCTTATGCTGATAAAATGATATTGAAATCACCTGTGCTAACAAATTATCAATTTGAAAGGTTAGGATATTTTTGTGTCGATTTTGATTCTAATGATACTAAATTAGTGTTTAATAGAACAATTTCATTGAAAGATGGTTCTTCTAAATGATTTTGTTGTTAATTCAGTTTGAAATAAATCTATATTTGGTCAATTATTTTTTAATGTTTATGTTTGATCAAATTGTACTTATAAAAAAATTATATTTATATACAAAATATATTTTAATGAGCTTATAACTTCATTGTTTGGCAGTTAAATAATTTTATCTATTATTTTAACATCATATCAATAAAAGTCCATACTTATTAATAAAAACTATATGCGTAATTTAACACCTCTACCAAATTTACTTTATGTTTAAATTAAGGATTTTCTTGAAATATAAAAAAAAGTAAAATAAAAATACTGTTGATAATATATATTATTTTGAGTAACTATTCTTGTGTTATGGTGAATGAGAATATGCATATTATTTTCTCTGTGAAATAAAAAAAAATTAAATTAATAATAACTGATAATAATATAATAATAATTTAATTACATTTCGTTTTAAAAGTAACAGAAATCATAAACTTCATATATGTATGAAATATGTTGAGAGATTTACTCAAATACATTTAAAAAAGATTTTGATAAGAATTAGAATTAATCAAATTATTATATAGTTTTGATATGCTGTAATGTTGAGTTAAATGTCAAAGTCAATGTAGCCCTTATTTTTAGATTAAATTATTCATCTTTATTGAGCATTTTTTAATTTTCAATACTTTTTATGTTAAACATGATGATTCGTTTGTGTATAATATGTGGTAAAATGGAATAATAATAATTTTATTAGACTTTAATGTGTATACTAATATATTATGAATTGCATATTATAATTAGTTATATATAAATATGTGTTGAAGAAACATTAAAAGTGATGTCGATTACGTTGTCTAAGACTTAGGTATAATTATAACATATTATCATAGGTATGGAAATAGTAAATTTATTAACATAACTATGTCAATAAATAAATACCTATGTAACTCATTGCGAGTTAAATTCACTGATTGAAACTTGCGATTACAATTAATTGAATATAATAGTAGCTAGTGAACTTAGTAGTTAGTAATTAGTAGTCGCAATAATTACCACGAGGAAATAAAAACGAGAATTAAAGCTGGAAACAAGTGTTATTTCGCGCTACAGAAAACCTTTAAGTACAAATTATTATCAAAGAAATCAAAAATGTGATTATACAAGGTTTTAGTAAGACCACTAATTCTATACGCATGCGAAACGTGGCCAACGTCAAAAGAGGACGAAAGAAAACTGGCAGTCCTTGAAAGGAAATTCCTACGACGCATTTTTGGTCCTAAAAAAAATGACCAAACAGGTGAATATGAAATAAAATCCAATAAGGAAATTAAAGACCTGTGGGGAGAAGAAGACATAATACAAACACTTAAAGGAAGGAAATTGAGCTGGCTTGGACACGTATGGAGGGCCAATGGCATAATGAAGGATGCGCTTAACTGGAAACCAGAAGGCAAAAGACCGCTGGCAGACCGAAGAAAAGGTGGATAGACGAGCCCAACCAGAATTTCCAAATACTAGGGGTTGAAAACCCGGAGGAGTAGGCGAGTGATACAGAGAAATGGAGGAGGCTGTGTAGAGCAGTGATGAGTCTTAACGGCCTTTAAAAGCTGAAGAAGAAGTGTAGTATAAAACTATTTGATTTAGTCAAGACAAATTAGTTTCTCAGTTTTAGATTCTTGCAATTTTGCTCCAAGTAAAATATTTCTAAACAGTAAACTTTCTAAAGGTACCACTAATAACAAAAAAATTATAATAAATCTTATAAACAAACTCAATTTAATTAGATGTACCCATTGGTAATAGTTTATGTTGTAACTTACTATATTGCAATAATACGCATACTTTGATGCAGAACCAGTCCAATTCTATATGACATTGGCGCACGAGGGGGGAGGGGGGGTTAAGGAGTTGTAAACCCCCCCCCCCCCGAAATTTTCTCCGATGTCTAGGTTAAAATTTACAAATTTTACAAGTTTGAAATATGAAGAGCTAGTATTGAATACCTAGTATCATTGATTATAGAATAGTCTATTCTATTATCAATGCTATTATTTAAGTAAAAATATATTAAGGATTTGCATAATTTTGTTAATTGTAAAATGTGTTATATTTTTAACTTAAACCCCCTCCACCGAAAAAAAATCCTGTGTGCGTCACTACTATATGGTGAATGACTTCGATGACGAATAAAACAAATTTTTGTTAATGGTAAAAATGCATTTTAACAATATTTCAAGAAATAAAGGGAAGTTGGATATGGTGATTTGATGTCCTTCGTAGTCTCTGGTACGGAAGAATACAGAACAATATAGGTATACTTTAACACTATACCGACAGTGAAATAATAATTAGATTATGATGTACTTAAATACCGTAAAATGGGGTGAATAGGAATGGTTTTAACAGTTTTTTTAAGATAGTACACGCAATTTTCATAGAATCCATATTCTGAAAACTGTTAAAGAAAATCCACATAGACATGATTATATTTAGAATCAATTATACAATTTAAGTTCAATAGTTATTTTTATATATTTTTGCAAAAACGTATTCCTATTCACCCGGCAATGGGGTGAATAGGAACACAGTTAAGAAATTATTGATAATCCTTTTATAAAGTAAGACGGGTGAATAGGAACTTAATTTATATTTAAAAAAAAACGTATTAACATTATATAAAATATTAGGTGTTATAATAAAATATAAAACAATTAATTGTAATAGATATAGTAAAAAAAGAAAATAAAAAAAAGTCATTCCTTTGTGAAATCAGTCTTGTTTATAATTTGAGCTTAAAATAAAATTAAAATTACGAGTATAAAATAGTTAATAGGTACTTTTAACCATTTATTGTAGTTCACTTTAAACTTCATGTCCCCCCGTTTTTGACGTTTAGGATGCTTTACTATGCCTATTATGTTTTGAATGTATAACCAACATAGGTCTTCTTTTTCAGGAAAAATAAAAATCTTTCCAAAATCTAATTTTGTAGAGCGATATTTTAAAAAAGACCCATAGACTTTTTTTTCTTTTAGCTTTAAAATATTTCCAATAAATTTAATATTCTTTAATGAACATTGTTTTAATTCTGAAAAATGTTTAAAGTCACCAACAAGCCATTCATTAACATTAAGTTTACTAAATGAATAACACCTATTAGGTTTGTAGCATTGCTTAATAACTCAGTCGTTTGTGATTCGTTGTCTTCATCTGATCTATTCCAATCTGATTCTATGTGCATTACATCATATTCATCGTTTAAACAATTATTTTCGTCATTACTTAAAACAATTTCGTCTTCGTCCGTTTCATTATCACCTCTAGTACTTTCATCACTGTTCTCTTTTAATTTAATACTCTGGCCAGATTGAATATCAAGTCGCTAACGTTTTTTTCTTGTCTTTTGTTGATTAGAGGAAGAGTATCGCATTTCTTTAAGAACTGATACCAATGAATCATTAATTATTTCGCCATCAGAATTAGTTCAATTAGGTCCATCTTCAGGTACCCAACATATTTAAAACCGAATCCCTATTCATGGATATAATTCCGCATTTGTTAAACCTAAATTGTATATTTACAATCTGTTTTTCTCTAATTGCACCCATTAAATTGTTCAAAAGTTTCTTTTGGGACTCATGACTCCTTACCAGGCGCGTACTAAGTCCATTTTCCCTACCGTGAAACTGGATATAATTACGGCACACTTAATATAAATACCAATAGAAATGAGTTTCATGTATACCTATCTATATCAATAGCCAGGTTGTCTACCCATTTCTTACACAAAACTATAAAATAACTATAAATATATATATATAATAATAATACAATACCTTTTCTTCGTTTATAGACTATGTATAAGGTAAAGAGAGGTATTTTCGTGGAATAGGCATTTTCGTGAAATTATTTGTTAAACGCATAACATAATTCCCTATTATTTAAAATGACTATTTTTAAGGATCGATGTAATTTTCTAGTCGATCGTGTAATAGGGTATCACATTATACGTTCAACAAATAATATCGTAAAATTGCCTATGTCACGGAAATACTTTACTTCACCCTATTTAAAATTTAAACATACGGTACAAACGGTAATACTAAGTGTTGATTATTCCTCGTTTCATTTCTCACACAAAAAAATGATTTTTTCAAAACACTCTAGATAATTTATCTTAGATAACCATTTTATTTAAAAAGACGGATAAAAAGATACTTCAAATTATTATTATCTAGATAAGATAAAAAGATTAATGTTTTTATCTAGATAAATCATCTAGATAATGTACAACACTGGTTATTTATTTTTTCTTATCAAATAAAACATGTTAATTTAACCATTTTATACAGTATATTATATTACGTTTCAAAAAAAAAAATTAATTGAAATTCTTTGTGTTAAATGTTGACGACCATTGGAATGTAAATTTTTGCATATGAAAAAGCACTAATAATAAACTTAAAAGCCTTAATTTTAACAAAAATTATAATACTCAAAATAACTTAGGTATATCAATAACGATGATTCAAGATCAATTTTTTCTTTTTGTGAATGTGCGTTATTATGGTGACGGTACATAATTGTTATTTTAAGAGAGAACGGAAATGTTTGACGAGATCGGAAGAATCTTTCAAGACTATTATTTCAATATATATCATTATCTTACTATTTTTTGTGTATTATTATAGGCTTCGAAAACGTTTGCAGAGCATTCAATTTTCCACGATAATCTTGAAAAATTCCAAAACCAGCTCCCTTACTTATAGGATCGTCCGCTGTTGAATTACTTTCATCCCAAAAAATAATTTCATCAGCCATTCAAAGTTCTCGTTACACTCGTAAGTACTATACAAACGTAGAAATCGAAATGATAAACACAAAGGTAATCGAAATTAAAACATGACTCTCTAGGAATAACATATTTGTCACACCTGTACTGAAAGTTTGGTTATCGACCATAGAAAAGTATACTAACAAAGTATACTAACAACTATACCACGGTCGAAGCGTTGGAATGTCACGTTTACCCGTCCAGCGGACGGTAAGATGGGAATCCCATAGAGG